ACACTGTGTGCTTGAGCCTTCAGGGCCGGTTGCAACGCTGACCTGTAATCCTCAGTACTGTGACTCTCACATGATGTAGGAATGCTGTGCCGTGGCCCACTCGCACTCACACTCGTTCCCTTCTGTCTCCTCTACCCCTCAGCAGACCAGCATCCCTCTCTGAGCGCTCTGGAGGACATAACGTGTCCGCTCCCGGTATTTGGGAGGTATGGGGTGGTTTCCGTCTTTTGGGAGATTTTTCTTTTGGGTGCGGAGGAATCACTTCCAGAATGGAGAGAACAAACCTCTGATACCAAAGGTAGTGTGACTCCTTTCTGTTCATTTTCTTTACATTTTTGTATTGCTACATTTGCCAGTTGATTGTACTTTTGTCCCTGCTAAGCATCTGTTGTAGCAGCCAATTCACAAAAGACATTATGTAAATCAAAGAGTGAAAACTTATTTCTGCTCATTGGAATAACATAACAACTTATAATGTGAGTTTAAGGCAGGATTACCTCTAATACACTATTTAGCGGCAATAGAGAGGCAAGAATGTTTGATTAAATATTAATAACTTAAATTATAAATAATATTTGTTATTATTTGTATCATTCTTATTACTTTTATTTATAATAATAATAACAAATGCAGCAATGTGTTATACTTATTTATTACCATTAATAAATGAAAAAGAAGAAGAAAAAGAAATGTTCATTATTATTACACAAATAATAATATTTTAAATTATTGAACAACAACAGTAACAGAAACAACAACAACAATAATCAATAATAATACATAATTATAATTATAATAATAACAATTATTATTATTATTATTATTTCCAAATAGTTTAATGAAACACTCTTGGTCAGTTTGGGCCAAATTTACTTAACAGTTTCAATGTATTAATAGTAATAATAAAACTAATAGTAATAATAATAACAACAGTTAGCAATAATATTATTATAATTTTCATAATGTTTAATCAGAGTAAAAATAATAATAATTAAGTTTCTATTGTTATTATTATAATAATTATTATTAATGCACTGAAACTGTAAATTTGGTCCAAACTGTCTAAGGATATTCAACTGAACAAGAGTGTTTGATTAACTATTATTAATATGGTTATTATTATGAATGCACTGACACTGTTTCGTGAATCTGGCCCAGGAGCTCTTAAGGTGATGATACACAGGGCAACTTTTTGAGCAATGTTGCTGGGCAATCTTGCAGAGTGATTGTTGCTTGGCATTTTCCCATTGAAAATGTGCAATAACTTTCTGTCTGGATAATTTAGGTTGTGGGCCCTGTGCCCGTTGACGGCAACATTGCTCAAAAAGTTGCCCTGTGTATCATCACCTTTAGGGTATTCATCTGACCAAATTCATGAACTTTCTACTTCTTATACCATCATCAGGGAGACGTTAAAAACTCAGAGGGTACCTCAGCGGCCACGTATCTGGGAACGCACGACAGTTCAGGAAGTCAAACCAGCTCGAGTTTATCCTGCCATGAAGGGTCAACCAGAGCTTCATCATGGAACATCTTCGCTCCACGGGTTTACAGTTCGTCCAGTTGGAGCGACTATATTCTGAAGTACCTCCTCATCACGAGCAACCTGCTCTTCACTGTTCTCGGTCTGGTCACGCTAGTGGTAGGCCTGTGGGGCCTGATTAACAAAGAGTCTTTTGCTCAGGAGAAGATCAGCGGTATCGGCACAGACCCCATGCTGCTCTTCACGTTCCTCGGTTTGGTTCTCGCCCTGCTGAGCCTGACGGGATGCGTGGGGGCGTTGCGGGAGAACATGTGCCTTCTTCGGACCTTCTCGGCTGCTGTCCTGCTCCTTTTAATGGTGCAGGTTCTGGCGGCGGTCCTGGTTTACAGCCTGCAAGGCCAGATCGTGGAGGTTTTGCGCTCGGGTATGCAGGCCGCCATGGTGCGGTACCAGGACGACCTGGACCTGAGGTTCATCACTGATGAGATCCAGACGGGCCTGCAGTGCTGCGGGGCGGATACCTACAGAGACTGGGAAATCAATGTGTGAGTGCATGAGCAAAATGAGTGGAAATCAAGAGAGGGGCTGACATCATAACAGTTTCCAACACTGCAGTAGTCCAAAGTTAAATAAACAGATTATACAACCTAATTTGCAATAAAGATCGTATCCAGCATAATGCACTCTGGACTCATAGTTTGGAGTTGGCTTACCCATAATTTTCCCATTCATGCTTTCCAATATTTCACTTGATGACACCACAATCCTTATTTAGCAATCCCAATTACGATTACCCGTTATTGGCAAAGTAAGGCTCTATTGAAGGGAGTTTAAAGTTAAAGGGGTGGTTCAGGATTTTGGTAATCGGACCTCATTTCCAAGTTAGCCTGGGTGTTATTTATCAGTGGAAACAGTTTTCAAAAATTTTCATCCAATCCTTCCAGTTGCATAGTTGGCCGGTGCTAGGCTAGCGCGAGTCAACGGTATATGCTAGCCTGCCATTAAAAACAGTTTTACCCACTCCACAGTACACCAAAAGCAAATAAATTATAACGCCAGACTATCGCTGTAAATGTCTGTTGAGAAATGCACTAAAAACTACTCTGAATTCCTTAGTAACCACATAGCAACACCCTTGCATTGTGGCATCAAGTTTAGCATGTACAATTTTGACCTGGGCTGGTAAGCAATTGTCTAGAAACCACCCAAAAATGCACTAAAATCAAATTTAGAATCACTTAGCAACTTCCTAGCAACACCCTAGCATCATGGCAGCATTCATGGATTTGCATGAACCTTTTTGACCTTTTCTAGTAAGCAACCACCCAGACCACCCTAGCAATCACATAGAAATGTACTAAAAAACCCTCTGAGTCCCTTAGCAACCACATAGCAATGACCTAGCATCAGAACATTAATTTTGCCATGTCCCAAATGGCACCCTGAACACTACCAGTCCACACTTTCGTGAAGTAATAGTGCTTTGACTGTCGGGTATAACCGTATAAGTCTGCTGCAGAGCTCATGTGTATCGAGGGCACATATCGACTGAATACTAAAATGACAAATGGGACACCCCTCAGTCTCTTGGACTTCACGGTCACGCACATCGGCGGCCATTTTAAGGTGGCCACAAGACCGTGAGTGCATATGAAGTGTGCCATTTGGCACAGGGCCTAAGAACACCTTAGCAACCAAATAGAAATAACCTACAACATCGGTTTAGAATTTCAGGCATGTATCACTAACAATTTCCAAAATGTAAAAACATAGGCCTTCTTGTTTTTGCATTAATTCTTGGTGCCACAAGTGGGACATATATGACACTTCACCCTTGACCTACCTTTGAACTCAAAAAGCATTGTTGCAAATCCAGTTGAGTGAGTCTCACCGGTATCCATTTCTCTGGCACAGGTATTTCAACTGTTCGGCTCCAGGGGTCCAGGCTTGCGGAGTGCCCCCTTCATGCTGTGTAGACCCCCTAGAGAACGGGACGGTGTGGAACAGCCAGTGTGGAGTGGGCGCCCAACAGATGGATGAGTTCTCTGCCCAGAGCGTGATCTTCCTGGGCGGCTGTTTGGGCAGCATCTCCCGCTGGATTGAGCACAACAGTGGAGTGATTGTCACGGTAGTCATAATTCTGCTGGGGGTCCAGATACTCACTCTGTTCATGACGACTCATCTGCTGCGCAAGATACGCTGGAACAGAGCTCAGCATGATGTGTACTTACAATCACTGCAATGAATGGACTCAGATGTTTTAAATAACACTATAATGTGTCATCGGGATTCTGAACCAGCCTGGATTTAATTAATTCATTGCATCTGGCATCTGGAGAACTTAAGCTGTTTAGTCTGGAGACAAATAGTCTAGGAAATTTATGATAGCATGTTAAATCTTAAAGGCATTGAAGGTACTTATTGGTTTTCATTGTTTGTAAATGTTTTCATAAAATACCTATTCCTAGTTGGTAAAGTTGTTTAAATGACCAAATCATACTCTACACACGTACACAAACACTTCCCTTCTACACAAGCTTTTTGTATATAATCACATTCTTAAACTGCAATTCATAATGTAAAACTAAGGGCCTCTAATCCGCTTTCTATAGTGAACATTATCAGGTCAAATACAAAGTTCTGGCATGAAACTCTAGTGAAGGCTAATAGGTGCTTTTACTCACCTGTTCATAATCACATCGTTATCCATAGGACACAGCTGATTGGTTCCTGTCGTATCAGTAGCCAATGAGCTCGCTGCTCAACCTTCAAATACGTGTTGAGCATTTGCCTTAGCAGTGCAGTGTGGTTTCAGAAACCCTTCACCATCCCCAGCTCCACCTGTATCTGCTATGGGTAATTCATGTACGCTACATTGTACAGCAGCAGCATGTCTTACTTGCTTACAGCAGTGTGTCATGCATGTATTGGCAGTAGCAAGTCCCATACTTGCTCTGCCGCAGCAATAACCTACAGCAGCAGCAATAAAAGTAGCAGCGTAGCAGATCTATTTCGCCAAGACCACACATATAACATTTTCATACCCATTACCATGCCAATCACTCCCAGAGTTGTCATGACAGAACTTTAGTCAAGTTAATAAGTCAATTGTTGACAAATGAAGCGTAAATGTGATGTGCTGGGAACTTTAAGAGTTCTTGTTTATTTTGAACAATAAAAAAACATTTAACTTGTTTCAGTACAGTTTAATAAAATAAAATCATTTTAGATTTATGATTCTATAATTAAGGCTCTAAATTTGCTTGTTGAAGGTTGGGAAGGCAATATGTTTTAGAAACACTGTTTGCTACTGGTTAAAACTCTCTTCACATCCTGACAGCAATTATTAATAGAAGTGGTATAAATATAAAAAATGTACACTATATCTTCTGTGTCCAATCATTGCATTCGGTCCGATGTCCTACTTGCATGTCAACATATGTATTTCTATGCATCGGCGCACCTGCTCGCACAGACATCACACGTCATCAGCGCGTTCGGCCATGCAGAGTTGTTGACAGACCCCCAAACTGAGGAAAAAAAACTCTTTCAGCTACGGCTGCCAAACAAAAACCAAGTGCAAAAAAACATTTACAGACATTTTCATTTAACATTTTACAGAAAAACACTTCTATTTTACAGGTATATATTGAATTAACTACATGCTTGAATTAATATGTCACTGCATCAGCAACTACACCACCTCTTAAATAAAGAAACACACAGCAAAACACCAATGTTTTCTGGCCCATCCTGGACTGAAGCACAGGCTCTCTTCAGCACAATGGTGACCCACAAAACAGACAATACAGAAACACTTTAAATCCCAACAGAATATTAAACACTAACAGATCACACTAACAGATCTCAGCATCTTCACTTATTACAATCCAGATTTTATTTCTTTCACTCAAAAGTTCTTATTGAGAAATACAGTTTTTTTTTCAATTGCTTACACACTAAAATTAAAACTTTTCCACAATTAGCAAAACCTTACACTCAAGGAGCAAAACCCTGGCCTAGATTTGCACAACTTTAAGCACATTGTCCGCTTCACACTTTTCGCAAAACATTACACACAGTGATTTGCAAAACACTAAACACACTTGTATGCATTTGACACAGAAATGTATCATGATGTCATTTCCTTACAATTTCAAAGCAAAGGCTTTCAAATGAACACACCAATGACCCAATAAGTTAAACACAGCCACCAGGTGTGTACACACACTGGTGCTTAACTGTAGACACACCAATCAGGTTTAAACACTATAAAAAGGCAACAGGTAAGTTCACCTGTCTTCAACAAAAATGTACGGCTCCCATAAAACCAAGAAGAAAAAGAAGAAGAAAAATGGATGGTGTCAGAGGAAGAGGGAGAGTGCGGATGAGAAGGGGAATCCGGAGCCGGAGAGGATGAGGGAATTTGATCAAATTGAAGCAGCATCCATACAAGGGTGGATTCGTCACTCACTTACTTACTTTTATTTATAAAGCACTTTACAACTGCACCTGCAGACCAAAGTGGTGTACAGTCAGCAGCATAAAACAAACAACACATAAAAACAACATGCCACTTACAAATACAGTTACTAGCCCAACCTCTCAAAGGCTAAAGACAAGAAATATTTTTTTAACACTGGTTTTAAATGCATTTAAAAAAGTAATCTCTCTTAGTTCAAGAGGCAGACTATTCCAAAGCCTCGGACCCGCAACAGCAAAGGCCTGATCACCTTTTAACTTTAAATGAGATCGAGGGACAGAAAGCAATGCTTTATTATTTGATCTTAAAGACCTAGGTGCTTGATGAAGAGCAATAAGCTCAGATACATAAGCAGGAGCTATCCCATGAACTGCTTTAAATACATACAGCAGAGTTTTATATTTTATCCTGAAATCCACTGGTAGCCACCTGAGAGAAGCTAAAACAGGAGAAATGTGATGACTTTTCTGAGCACCCACCAGCAGACGTGTCGCTGCATTCTGAACTAACTTCAAGCGTGATATAGTGGTCTGACTGAACCCTACATACAAAACATTACAATAGACAAGGCAGGACAGAACAAAAGAATTAATAACCTTTTCTAAATCTTTTCTCAACAGAATAGGTGTGCAATAGTCCTAATCTGGAAAAAGCAACTCTTAACCGAGGCATTAAATCTGCTTATCAAATTTCAGCTCTGGGTCAAACACAACACCTACGTTTTTTACTTGGTCATGGCAATAGTCTGACCGTGTGCCAAAATATGTTGCAATATCTAAGCATCCTCTGGCAGGGCCAAAAAGCATAATCTCAGTTTAACTTTGGTTTAACTGAACCAAATTATGAGTCATCCAACTCTTAACCTCCTACAGACATGCCAACAGTGAGTTAGAACCACAATTATCTCCTGATTTCAAAGGGAGATAGATTTGTGTATCGTCGGCATACAAATGGTACGACATGCCATATTTTTTAAAAATCAAACCCAGGGGCAACATGTACAAAGAAAATAAAATTGGGCCTATAACAGAACCCTGAGGAACCCCACCAGTGACGGGCACTGTTGTTGAAACAAAGTTACCATACTTTACTGAGAATGCTCTATCAGTAAGATAAGACTTGAACCACTTTAAAACTGTCCCACGTATTCCAACTAATTGGGATAACCGCTTCATGAGAATCACATGGTCTATTGTATCAAAAGCCACACTCTGTTATGATGATAGCAGAAGAACCCAAACGCAGACGATAGACAATTACACAACGTTTATTATAACAGAAAAACAGGGGAAAATAAAGCCCACGAGGGGGCAAAACAAACGAGGGATAACTAAACTAGATAACACTTGACAAACACTAGACTATTAAACAGCAAACACAAGATCAAGACATTCTTCAAAGACAAGGTACTCACAGGTAGACTCTCACAAAGTGTGACACAATGAACCGGCACAGGACAGCAAACACAAGGGGATGAAATAGGGGAACACTAATGACAAAGACAGGTGAAGCAGACTAGACAAGGACAGGTGAAACTGACTAGACAATGATGACGAGACGAGGATAACAAGGGGGCGGGGTAACGTAACGAGACAACACAAGCACATGGCTGAAAACACAAGACCATGTCCTTGCACACAAAACATGATTCTGTCATGATCCTGCCTCAAGACTAGAGAAAATCAAGGACACGAGGGCAGAATCATGACACACTCAAGTCCAATAAAATCAGAGCTGCAGCATTACCTGCATCTCGGATTAAACAAAGGTCATTAACAACTCTCAAGAGTGCAGATTCTGTACATAGCCTGGCCTAACACCGGACTGAAATTTATCTAAGATCTCATGTTTACTTAAAAATTACATCAGCCGTGCATAAACCACCTTCTCTAAAACCTTTAATAAGCATGGAAGTTTTGAAATGGGCCGGTAATTCTTTAATTCAAATGGGTCTAAGTTATGCTTTTTAAGAAGTGGCTGAATAACCGCTTGCTTGGAACAATCCCATTATGAAGACTGCTATTAATAATAGAGGCAATACTTGGCCCAACAACATCCACCAATTCCTTGAGAATGCGTAAAGGAGTCACATTACAATCATCAGATGTAGGCTTCAAATGAATAATGATGTTCTTAACTTGCGCCACTGACACCTGCTCAAAGTGTCAAAACTCTTGACACTAGCTGTCAACAACACAGTCTCAACCGGCAATATAGGAAGACTAGATCAAATCTTCTCCACTTTTTCCATAAAAAATATCTGAAACATGTTTCCAACGAGGGAGTCAAAACAGAACAGCCAATTGGTTTTAGAAGTCTATTTATCGTTGCGAAAAGGGCTGTAGGGGCATTACATTTCTGTGCAATGACACTAGAGAAATAATTTTGCCTCACAGCAGCCTGATATCTGAAAAACACTGCCTCATAATTTGAAGAGAAACCTGTTGCTTATCCTTTCTCCATTTTCGTTCAGCCTTTCTGCATTCCTGCCTCAAAGAACGAGTATAATTATTAAGCCAGGGTATTGAATTAATCTTTAGTTTACTAACTTTATATGGGACCACTACATACAAAATATCTGAGCAAACAGAATTAAAGAGTATCAAGCTCATCTGGGCCCACAGAAAGAGAAGGAGACTTAATCACATTTACAAATGAAGAGGAGATATATACTCAGAAAATTCTAGAGCCGTTGATGACGTAATGAGACAAGAAGAAATCACATCTGTCTGAGGCAAAATTGGTTTGCATGGCAAACAAGCATTAAAAATAACAGGCATATGATCAGACAAAACATCATTACAAACATCAATATTACAAATCGGAAGGCCCAGAGACAAGACCAAATCTAAAATATGGCCTTGTTCATGGGTAGGACTTGAAACACACTGCATGAAATTAAAAGAGTCTACCAATTGTAAAAACTCAGAAACCATTCGGACAGCACAAATGAATATTAAAATCCAGAAGAATTAAAATATTTTCACAACTAGACACAATATGAGATAAAACTCTGAAAACTGCTGAATAAAATCCTTGTTGTACCTCGGAGGTCTATATACCAGAACACACAAAACAGCTTTCCAAGGATCACACATAATAACTTGGGCCTCAAAGCTCTGATAATTCACCGTTGACAAAAGACGGCATTTAAATCTCTTCTTAAAAACACAAGCAAGTCCGCCACCCCGGCCAGAAGCTCTAGGGGTGCTAAAAAATGAACAGTCATCTGGAGAAAGTTCAATCAGAGGATGCATTTCACTGACATTAAGCCAGGTTTCAGAAATAAACAGAAAATCTAAATCATGTTGTGTAAAAAAGTCATTTAAAACAAATGTTTTATTTGAGAGTGATCTTGCATTAACTGTTATTCTGGTCTTTATACTCACAGACTCCAGAATATCTTGTTTAACACCCAACGGGTTGTGGTTAATTGAGCAATAAGTTTGAACACATATATAGTGAATTAACGGTGCTGCAGCATAACATGCAAGCCTCTGCGTGCAACCTACTAAACGGTCCGTGCGCTGCGACCACAATATTACCAAGGATCCACATCATAGCACATTCCTACATGCTAAACAATCACTACTGTTACATCCTTTCTCTTTTGAGACTGAGACTTCAGGTGCCTTCTTAATGCCAGCACAACTTAAATGTCATAAATACAGTGTTGTATTTTGTTTTCTCTCTGTAGACTATCAACATACACATTTCCAAAATATATATCTCTATATACAAAAAAAATAAGATTGCCCTTAACCAATTAGCATCGGCTTAAATCAAACATACCCTTGTAACATTCAAAACATAGTAACATTCAAAGTGCTGTTTCTTCAAGCTTAGTGTGTTACAAAGTCCATGTAACGCGGTGGTTTCTTCACTATGCGGCCAGACCTGGTAGTGACTGGCACATCACTGTTGGTGTTATCTAAGGGTGTGACCTTCTCGGAGGTACAGAAGGGAGAGGCGGTCTCCGAGTGTGTAAAGTGTCATCAGTGTCTATGTCTGGGGGTCGGCTGGGGGTCGCTCCAGGAGCCCGTCTGAGGTGTCTCCGATTTCTCCTGAGAACATTGCCTGTGTCTAAGTGGACCTCGTAGGACCTTGCATCAATGGGCCTCTGAATGTTACCTAACCTCCAGACATTGTATGGTGCAAATGGTTGTACTCGCACACGGTCACCTGGTTTCAGTTCATTCAAATCTCTAGCTGATCTGTCATAGTAGGCACACTGACGTTGTTGGTTGTTGATCAGATCCTCCTGTGCACTTATGACTTGTGGTTGCAGAAGACTTGTCTTTGTAGGTAACAGTGTTCTGGTACGGCGGTTAAGCAGTCTCTGTGCTGGACTGGACATCAGGCCTTGTGATGGAGTATTGCGGTGGTCTAGCGTAGAAAGATACGGGTCCCGTCCTGCAGCTTTGGCTTTGCGCATGAGCATCTTTGCTGTCTTCACGGCTGACTCAGCTTTGCTGTTACTCTGAGGGTAACCTGGAGATGAGGTATTGTGTTGGAATTCCCAAAGGAATCTCTGGAATTCTGCGGATACATATTAGGCTTACCCCTCTGCATGAGTGCTGCACCTAAACCTGTATCTGAGTCAGTTCCTCATCTGGGCTGTAAAACTTCAGCACTGGAGCCTGTGCAATAGTGTCTTTAAGTTTGTGGAATGCCTCCTCATGTTGCTCTGTCCAGTTCCACTCACTGTCTTTATGTGTCAGCTTTCTCAGTGGCTCACATTGGTCAGAGAGATGTGGGCAAAACTTGGCCAGGTAACACACCATGCCCAACAGTCTCTGAACTGATTTCACATCTGTTGGTCTCGGCATTTGTGTGATTGCTCGTACCTTTTCTAGGTCCACTTTTAGTCCATCAGCAGTGAGGAGATGTCCAATGTATGGTGCTTCATTTAGTGTCAGCTTGAACTTTTCTGCGTTCAGTGCTCTGTTGTCTGCACCGGTTCAGAAACAGTCGCAGTTTTCTGTCATGATCCTGCTCAGCTGCTTCTTGTGACTCACCCTGTCCTGAGATCAGTACATCATCAGCGATTATGTACAGTCCAGGCAGATCATCTAATGCTTGTGTCAGTTTCTTTTGGAAAACTTCAGGTGCCGGGCTGACTCCCATAGGCATCCTCAGCCACCTGTAACGCCCAAAGGGTGTGGCGAATGTCGTCAGGTAACTGGATTCCTCATGGAGCTTGACATGCCAGAAACCACTTTTGACATCACACACTGTGAATACCTTGGCTTTGGACAGGTCTGGGAGTATGTCCTCAATAGTGGGTAGTGGAAAATGGCTGCGCTTTAATGCTTTGTTTAATGGTCTGGGGTCGATGCACACTCTCGGGTTTCCATTTTGTTTCTGTACAACAACCATAACGCTGATCCAGTCTGTGCTGCATTGGACAGGTGTTATGATTCCTCTGCGCTGTAGATCCTGTAGTTCCTCTTTGAGTGGTTTCATCATAGAGACTGGCACACGTCTCTTGGGCAACTGCACTGGCTTTACAGTTTTATCTACCTCTATTTTGTACTCTCCTTCTAGACATCCGTCTCCAGTGAATACATCAGCATACTCACCTTTGATTTGTTCGTTGGAACACTTTCCAGTTGTAAGTTTCTCTGTGGTGACAATGCTATCTATTGCCATTAAATTCTCATAACGCACCTTTATGAGCTTCATGGCCTCACTTGCTTTTTACCAAGCAACGGTACAGCGTCATCTCCATCTACCACTTGCAACTCGAGCTGGTACAGTGTCTGGTTTATAGGATTTCTCAACTTAACTTTACATTTTCCCAATGGTCTCAGTCTGCTCTTGTTGTACATGAGTAATACACTGTCTGTGTGTTCCAGTTTTTTTTCCCGGGTTTATCAAATGGATCGGAATGATGTTGCAAGTGGCACCACAGTCAATTTGGAATTTCACCATGTCTGTCCCAAGAAGCATACATGCAAACAGCTGGGTGTCATCTGCTCTGCTCGTGCCCACTGCATTAACATCCTCTGCCTGTGCTTCAGTCACACACAGGATTTCCTCATATTCTTCACTTTCACATTCTGTTACCTTATGTACAATAGTCTTTTCTCTGTGTTCTCTACATTTAGCTGCAAAGTGGTTGTCCTTTCCACATTTTTTGCACTTCTTCCCATAAGCTGGGCCTTTCAGCTTGTTTTTATCATGTGTCTTACCACAGAACTTGCAGTCCACTGTGTCACTTGTCCGTCTCTAGTGCACTGCTCCTCGTAGTGCATGCACCTCTTCCACCATCGGTCCTGAGATGGCTTTACAGTTCTCCCGCGACAACTCTGCCGCTCTGCACAGCTGTATGCACGTGTCCAGCGACAAATTTTTCTCACGCAACAGTCTCTCTCTCATGCTTGTGCTGTTTAATCCACACACAACACGGTCGCAGATAAGCGAGTCTCTCAGTTGTCCGAAGTTGCATGTTTTCGCCAGTACTCTTAGTTCCGTGACATAGCTGTCAATAGACTCACCCGACCTCTGGCTGGTTCTTGGTAAAGAAGAGATACCGTTCGACAGTTTCGTTCACACAAGGGTTGCAATGTCCATCAAATTTGTCGATAATGTCTTTTAATCTCCACGTATCTCTGGCGGCGTCACTCATTAGAGTGTCCATTAATTCTCTGCCGCTTTCACCAACAAGATAGCTGAAAAGTGTCACTTTTTTCTTTTCATCGTCGTCACTCACTGTTAACTCCACATAAAGTATAAACTCATCCTTCCACTTCTTCCAGGACCTTGAAAGATCGTTGGAGTCCAAACACAATGTCTGCGCCGGCTTCAATCCTTCCATGTTGCACACGGGGATGCTGAAACATTTAAAGGGTAACCGAAGTGTTTTGAAACCACATCCTGCTATTGGCTACATGTTACAGACTGCATATTGTGCATAATGTTTTAGTTTGTATTTGACCAGCAGTTATAGAAGCAGGAATTACTCAGACACATTGTTGAAAAGTATGAAAAAATCAAGCTTTATTTGATGTCCAAACCCTTTCTGTGCTGCCAGGAATGAGTCGGACTCATTCTCATATGGCTCTCTGGCATCATAAGGCCAATAAACTGGGCCGGGCACTCACAGAGAGCTGCTCCCAGTAATCGCGCTATGGGCAGATGCCGAGACCCCACGCCAAACTCATTTTTGACACATTTAGACACAAATTTTACAACTTGATAAAATGAAAACATATACATCCATCATTAAAAAGATCCAGCTGCTGCTACATTTTGTACATTGATGTTCGCAGAGTAATATGGAAGTAAAATCAAGAAGTGGCACCTAAAACGCCGTTTATATGTCAATATGACAATACTAATATGTAAAATAATGAAGTAAAAAAAGATGAATAAGAAGAAGTTATGTGAAATTAGCATTGGTGACGGAGTGAAATCTAGGTCAACAGGAAACATCAGTTTAGAGGTGGAGGTAGATTAACTAATTCCATTTAATTTTTTTAAAATGTTGTAAATTTACAATAAATGACTAACCAAACTTCTACTAAAGATATTTTTAATTTGAATATTTAATCGATGTATTAAGGTGCAGGATGTTGTCATGATCATTCACTGGTTGCTGATTCAGTGGGATGTGGGAACAGGAAGTGACCTCATATAATGCCATACTGGGCCAGCTCGTGTAATTCCAGGTGACTGTATGCCTCCCACGGACAGATCACGTTAAAGTCTGTGAGAGAGAATATGATTACACATGCACATAATCTTAATCATGAAGTCTCAAAGGACTTGAATATAGATAATATTTTATAATACTTTTTTTTTTACTTTTGAAAAATTATACATACCAGTTCCTAACCATTCCATTCCAGGAATATCTTCACCAAATCTGAGAATAACAACATTAATAATATTAAGACAGATAAAACCTGCAGATCCATCCAAGACCAAACTAAAGGCATTTAAAGTAGTTTTTAAAAAGTGAAAGGTATTACCCAATGACACCCTTTTTGGGGGGTTTGCTCTTGAACTGTCGCATTGACCTCTGTTTGAACTTGGTCTGGCCACTGCCGGGCCCCATGACACGTGTGGCAACCTTGCTGCTCGCTTTAGGCTTTGAGTTCTCCATAACCACAATAGAAACCAATGGCAAGTATACTGGACACTTGTTTGATGATGATCTGTAAGAGATTGGTAAAGTTGGCAAATAAAGAAGCAAAACTTTCTGTTATTCCAGTAGAAGCAGTATTATTTATATAGCACACTTCATACTCAATGATGTAAATAGAAATAAAAAGTTTGATAATGATTAAAGATTCATTGGAAGAATTGAAAACCATTTATAAAGAGAACACATAGGTCATCTGTTCTGACCAGATGAATACACTGTGTATAATAATAATTATAAATCTCTAGGCTGTCAGTGTCCAGGCTCCTTTAATCCCCATTACAATGATCAAGTCCCCTTTAATCTGCTGTCCAGAGGGTTTCTCCATTAATCTCATTAGATGAAGGTCAGTGCACAATAAGCAGAATTAGCTTGATGTCAAACTCTTCCTTTTATAAGATGAAGCACAAAAGAGTTCATTGCTTGAGTTTACTGCACTATAATATAGGAAATGAGCTCAAAACGTCACTTGCGTCACAATGGTTTCTCTGCTGCAACTGAAATAGGGTCATGTAAGACTTGCTTCAAATATCTGAATTTCATTGCATTAGATTAAAAGAAAAAACATCAAAAGTGCCTATCTCAAATGCTCCAGTATCTTTTTTTGTCACTAAACTTTCTATGTAATTTTTGCTCAATGTTTTTTAAATCCCTGTTTAGGTAGTTAGGGGATGTCTGAAGTCAGTTCTCTTCAAGTTCAAGTGTGTTTAGTTCATCAGGATCGTTCACACCAGTCAAACTCAGTTCCCGGAGAGCCACTGTCCTGCCGAGTTCAGATCCAACCTCAATTAAACACCTGAACCATCAAGATCTTCAGGATTATTATAAACTTCCAGGCATCGGCCAGTTGCACAAACATAGCAGGTTAATAAGACTGTCTGACCATTAAGAACTAGTCTGCCCATCTAGCAATTAGTTGTGGCTAATCATTCTTCCTTTTTGGATTCAAATGAGACCAATCTATACCTTGTTATGCAAGTTATGACCAGTCTTGAAGAAAAATAAACAGTTGACTATGTAAGACCAGTTTATGCAACCGGCCACAGATGTTTTGGAGCTGGTTGGAGCTGAGCTTCCCAAGAATGATGATAAAGATAACAATAACTATATTAGCGTGCACACCAACCGACTAATATATTTATATTATAAGCGTACACATGGTTATGTTGTCTGCCAGTTTAAATGCTTCAGCTCATTAAACTCGAGTGGATTCTGTTTTACTGTCAATGTTTTTTATGGTTCATCAGCTGTAAAAAAAATCGTTCTGAAAATGAACGAATAAGAATGAATATTAAAGCTTTGTCATCATAGTTATCGTCCTAGGTGTGAACGGGCTTAGACTATAGAAATATCTACTAACAACAAACAAACAGAAACAATATCTTTTTGACAAATATGTGAATTGTTTGATAGGTGTGCTTGTGCTCTCTTTCTTTAAAATCAATGCCACAATATGATACAACCATTAGCTATAACTGAGACTTTCACATAACTAAAACAAACATTACAAATCTTTTTTCCCATAGACGTTAGATGCACTCACCTGCTGGTGTTTCCTCTGTCTCTGTGTGTGTGTGTGTGTGTGTTGAGGTGTTCAGGACGCGGCTCTCTGTCAACACACGTGCTCACATCAGCTCTTATATACTTCTGAGCATCATAATATGATTATTCCTGCACATGTTGGCCCTTCCTCTTTCCGAAACACTGCAGCTGTCATCAACCCTTACAGGGTTCGATGAGGCCACATCCTCAGATATGAGATTAATCCGGTTTGTTTTCCATGGCTCATGCTATATTAAATTAGGCACAGAGCGTTTGGTTGATTTTAATTTAGGATTTTATTTGTTTTTGCTTCAGGGTTTGTTTATTTTTTTCTTTATATTATATGATCAGCATAACAATTTGACTGAAAACAGTTGTGAATTAGAATAATTGAATAGAATATTGCATAAAATATCTGTTAAGATATGACATTGAAGATATTTAACTTTAAAATGGATAAACAGGAGTGAGGAGTCACATCAAAATATTCACATCACCGGTTTTGTTTATGCAGACAGAACTGTCTTCAGCTCACATACTCACACACATGACACGTCTAGTGTGGTGATCCTGATCTTCTACTTATGTAACAGTTTTTCTGAATCACCTGTCCAGAAGTCCCGTGTGTGCTGTGAGTCCTGGCTTCAGTTTGATCAGCAGTCTGTCAGATAAGCTCCACATCTCCATCCATTCAGAGAAAAGATTAACATCTCCAATCTGAACAAACACACACACAACACTAACTCAACCGCGGTATCGGTATCATTCCCTTCTAAACACAGACAAAAATGGATGAATAAAATAGGAAATAAATATTTCTGTGGTGTACATTTTATACACTTTTTAGAAACAAGAGCTCAGTGGAATGTAAAATCACAATGTGCCACTCCTCATGAAAAGACAATACATTTCTATGAATGATCAATATACTAAATGGTTTAACAGTAAATTTGAAAATATACAATATATTGAATAATACATTAGGAATTTTCACTTTCATATTTTGAACAATATGTGACTATATATTTAATAATATAGTTACATTAGTTTACCATACTTTTAAATTGAGTAATACACTTCATAATATATAGATGTATGTGTGATCAGATATGGTACTGCATGTGTAATATATTGCAAATATATCAACTCATGTAGCATAAACACACACACATATATACAGAAATATATAATGTAATAGCATATTTCTTATATTTTTTAATTATTTGCATTATAAATGTTTCATATTTTCAAGCTAGTTAAAGGGGTCATTATAATGCCATTTTTGTACAAGCTAGTATGATTCTTTAGGGTCTAAATGAAACGTTTGTAATATACTTTAATTAAAAATTCTCATTAGTATTGTAAGAAAACAGTTATTTTACCTGGTCAAAAACAGCTCTGTTTTCAGCACACCGTTTCAGTGCATATGACTTTAAATGATAATGAGCTTTGCTCACCCCGCCTCTCTGTTCTGTGTGTACACCGTTTTTGTTAAAAAATAACACAATAACCATAACGCGTTGTTCAGTATAAACGTGGGATTATGAATTATATTGAGAACATCATACATAGAAAACATGCCGTAATGTACCCTGAGTGTAAACCTTAGACGCATTCATTGTGAAGCGTGCAGCTAGCGATTTGCAAAGATTAATATAAATATTAATATAAAGTTTAATAAAACGTTACACTCACTTCAGTTGTTCTAGAGGTTCAGCAGGAACACGAATATCTGGTACCGATCCTTTTTTCATGAGCAGCTTCTTAGCAAATCCAGCTTTATACTGATCCTCGTTTATAAAGCAGTCTGCTGAGAAATGATTCGCGCAAACATGAAAGCATTGACGTTGCTCGTGGGGAATATTCCCTTCGAAAACAAACTCAGCCACTGCGTCTTCAGCGGTTCGGATTTAGGAACATTAAAATGACTGTGTTCGTTATTACACCCAAGAACAGAACACCACAATCGCTTAGACGCCATTCTGCTCATAGACAGTGCTCCAGCATATCAACAATGACCGCGCCGATCCGCGCAGACTATGATTGACAGCTCCCTCACGAGCGAGGGCGGGTCTGTGTTGAAACGATGCTGTCAATCAACAATCGTGAGAGGGGCTTCCGAGCGTGTGACGTCACAAAATCGAACGGCTCAATTTGAGGCAGGGGAAAACATATAAGGAGATTAAAACAAAAACACTGGATGGATTTTTATCATTTTATGATGGTTGTGTACAGACACTGCCAACACACATTTCAGTACAATCAACTTGTAAAAGTGCATGTACCATTATATGACCCCTTTAACAAAAGCACATGTAAACCTGCATGTACTAAAGTATTTAGCCAAGAGACTGTGCTGAGGAGTGTACAGCCATTAATTTTAAAAAATGGTAATTAGTCTTAATGTTTTTTTGGCCAATTGTTAACCTCACCACAGGCTCTCTTCAGCACAATTGTAACCCCAAAAACTCACACATCCCAGAAAACCTTTTAAATTCCAAAATAATAGAACATTAAACACTAACAGATTCCCCCATCCCCCCATTAATATTGAGCAAAACACTTCAATAACACTTAATTGGAACATTTGCTCTTTTTACCAGTCAGAGGCAAAGCTAAAGAAATCTAGAAATCTGCTGTAGCTAACTCATTCCGTGAATGTGTGTGTGTCTGTGTATGTGTGAACTCAACATTTATATGGGAACATGTGTGTGCAACATATGTACACAATAAAGGATACAACTTTGTAAATATTACATATAGGCTAGGCATAATGCTATTTTTGTCTTCATTTATAAATGTATTTATATATAGTCATATATGGTCAAATGCATGTCAATTGCAGTATATTGAAAAATATAAGCACTAGTTTAATTTAATCACGTTTGTCTTGAACTTCACATGTGCACGAGTGCGAGCACGAGCTATAGCACGGGCTAGCTGCAGTTCACTTAACGGCCACCGGTGTCGCTAATAACAAAGGTTTCTGAGATCTACTACTTTAAAAGAACAATTGGTTATAATTAGTCAGTCACTATTGTTTCTAATTAGTTAATCCTTGTCCGGCTGTATCTGTTTAGTGTCCTCATTTACTGTGTATGTATAGGCTACTCCCTTTTTTGTTCAATCTTTTGTCGGTTATTGTTTGAGTCAAACATGAATGTAACGGTTCTTCTTGAGACTGTGTAGCCTATTTTATTATCTCCTTTGTCGTTTCTACTGCCGTGCTGAATATACATCCATTTTCATTCATATTTCATTTTCATTGATTTGTTACTACAATGCCCCTAAAGGTATGGTGATGATAAGAGATGGGAGGAAAAAACTTTTGCGAGCGAACGCAAAGTTTCTTAGTGGAACACAAGTTTTGAGAGAGAACATAAAGTTTATATGGGGAACATTTTCCTTCCTTTTTTTATCTCCATGCCTCCTTACGGGGTTTGTAATGTAACTTGCGATGCTACAGTAATAAACTAGAGTTACTGTACATGTGATGAAAGTCAAGCCCTAAAGTGACATGGGGATGGGGGAAATGAGATGGGAGGAAAAAATATATTTAGCTCGGAAAACAACGCAAAGTTTCTGAGGGGAATGCAAAACTTTTAAAAGAGAACGCAAAAGTATTGAAATATGTTTAATAATTGTAAACAAATCTTTATTGGCATTGATGGTTCCAAGAAGAACCTTTTAATATCCATGAAACCTTTCCGTTCCACAAAAGGTTCTTTGTAGTGAAAAACGTTTCATTAGATTATTAACATGTTCTTCAAACGGAGTAAAACGAATACAGACATGACAGAAACAACTAAAGAGAACATGATTGTGACAGTATTGATAATAATGAGATTAATACACCCAGTTGAGGCCATAATCCGCTGTCCGTGCAGGTGGGACTTGAAAATATATTCAAATTTGTTATTATGGGCCATATATTTTGTAGAATCCTCAGAATCTAAAAGACATAGGCTATATTTGATGATTTGTTAAAATATGGACTACCGAAGACTAAATAAGCACTTGCTTTATTGTAAATACAGATCATCAGCAAGGAGTCTTTGACTTGATCCCAAATATACTGGATCCAAACGATCAAGACTTTTCCAATTAAAAGCAGCTAGCGCCACCATGTGGCAAGACTAGAAATAACACAATGTTCATTTGAGTTCTATCAAATAGAAGAGAATATAATCTTAATTGGGGATTTTACCATCACAACTAAGTATTATTGCACATCACCTGCATGGATAGGCCTAATACGCATAATAAAAACAGTTCATGCAATTTACATGCTCAAGTAATGAGTAAACATAATTAAGATCATGAACTTACATTGTAAGTAGCCTGTATAGCCTTGAGGACATTTATTATACAAATTTAGTTTTTAATTAAATCACCCACACATAATATTTTACACATATTTTCTTTGGGCTCGTTTATTGAATATAACTGTGTCAACTAGACTATGAAATTACAATTTTGTTGCATTGCAGCCTGTTTTTGTATTATCATCAATTTCAGATGAACCCACCCCTAAACTTCAAAAGTCACTTTCCATGTGATATGGCTTTTCATTTAACTGAGAAGAACTTGGCCAGAATCAATTGAAATCAAAATTTATATGACTTATTGATTAAGTCAAAATGTGAGACCACAACAATTAATACAGAAATGATTGCACACACACTTTCAGATTTCAATTACACAAAATTTTGAACACATTTTCAAATAATTAATTTCTGAATATGCTAATTCTGATCTTATTAGAAATCATCAAATGATCACTACAGTGGATATCCTTATAAAGAAGATCAGATCCTTCTCATAATCCTTGTTTTATTCACAACTTGTAGTACTTTTACAGCATTATAAACAAAAATTAAAATACTGCATGGAGACAATAACTTAAAGGTATAGGATAGGCAATGTTTTTCATGAACACTTTTAGTTATACTGAGTGAAACTCTCTCCACATCCTGATAGCAATCAATAAAAAAGTGGTCTAAATATATATTTTTTTTTACATATATCTTCTGTGGAAGTGTCAATACCAAAAATGTTTGTCCATTGCATTCTGTCCGAACGCAATGAGTGTTGTTAATAATGGGACTAATGTGACGCCAGGTGACCCCTGTGTGACCCCTGTGTGACCCCTGTTTCCCAACACAGGTGCAGGTGGGACTTGAAAATGTCATCATAAAATTTTGTTATGGACCATATTTTTCAGAATTCTAAGAATCTAAAAGTTAACATTTGATGATTTATTAACATATGGACTACAACATATATTATTTTCATTACAATTTAACAATATTTACAATCTTTTTACAATATGTAAAAAAAAAAATGTATGACCAAAGCTTCATTGTAAATAAAGATAATCAGCGAGGACAGCAAATACACTGCATTAAAACAATCAAGACTTAACCAATTAAAAGTGAGTAGTTAGCGCCACCATCTGGCAAGAATAGAAATAACACAATGTTGGACTTTCCCATGGTTGACACTAAACATTCATTTGAGTTTTAGAAAACAGAATCAAATAGAGTATTTTTGGTGTATTTTTCCGTCACATTTAGGTATTGTTCAATACATGCATGATAAAAACATTTACATGCTCAAAGTGAACTTACTTAAGACCAAACTTGCATTAAGTATTGCCTCACCGATATTTATTACACAAACTTAGTTTGTAATTGAATCGCCTGCTACAATATTTACATATTTCCATTGTACTTGTTTATTAACAAAACATTGTGTGAACTGTGATAAAATTGTGCCATTATGTAAATGAGTGTTGCATTGCAGACCTTTTTGTATTATCATCAGTTTTAGAAGTCAAACTTAAAGACCGTCGGTCAGATGGCTTTTCAGCTAATTAGGAAGTTCCTGGCCAGGAGAAGCTGTCAATAGAATTTATTACTTCATTTGATGAATTTAAATTGTAAAACCACAACAATTAATACAGAAATTGTTGCTCACTCATTTTCAGGTTTACATTAAATGCTTAATATTACCATCGCACTGAATCATTTAACATATTTCCAAATAAGTCATTACTAAGGATGTTAACTATTATCTCATTAGAAATCATCACAGATGATTAATGGTTCAGTGGAGATTTTACACAAATCAGGATCTAAACTAATAAATAGACAAAGTTTCTCTTTAGTTTGCTTCATCACATGCACTTCATAAAATACACCCTGGGGAGCATCCATCAATCGTCACCATTAAGATCATTTTCAATCTTTACCTTATGGTGCGGTGTTGTCATGTATCACTTCTTCCTTGTCTTCAGGCCCACTGAGATATGAATTAGCTGAATCGGCATCCAGAGTCACATTCCCTGTTGAAATATACTGCTTCACAAATGGGTAAATAATAAAATAGTAATAATCTATATCTTACCAGAATCCTGCAACTTTACAGCATTATATCTACTTTAGTAACATAATGTGATATAATACTAGACCTTATACTGTAATGCAATCTAATTTGACATAGAGTACACAATTATCATGTCATAGCTAACTTAATTTAATAACTTAATTATGATATAATTCTTGACACCCCAACAAGGACATCACCAATTTTCGAACCCTGGTTACAGCCCTACTTGTGTTGAGTTTATTTGTGTAGCTTTTCTTTAGTTACATTTACATGTTCAAATTGTAAAATTGTTAAATTATGGTTAAATGTTGTTATTTTTGTTATGGGACATATAAATCATCATTCATTTGATCATTTGGGATCTGAACCATTTAATTGCATTTATCCAGTGATAGTTTGTATTCTACCAAACTCTCGAAGTATAGAAATAAATAAAATTTGGCATGACCATGAATTTGGTCAAATAAATTATTGAACTCATAAAACATGAGGTTTTTTTTTACTCACCCATGTCTGTTTCTAAATGTGTGATCATCACTAAAAACAGAAAGAAAGTATGAAGTTAGGGTCCATAACAGAATTCATCAATAATGAGATACATTTTTAATATTAGTCACAAAACCAAAAACAGTTTACATCTCACATAAATCTATAGTGAATTGAATTCATATATGCACTGTGTATTAATTAATTGTTTTGCAAAATATTAAAGTATTCATAAGTTAATAAAGCCATAAACAAATTCACCTTTTGGCATCTTCTGACTCTGTAAAAGTTCTAAAGAAAGATCAGAATAAAGCAAGAGAAAAGAACATTGAAACAATACAATTTTCGATAAACAATACTGCAAATATTAAATGTAAATTATTATAATGGAGATGTGTTTATTATAGAATGTATTGTCATTGTGCACATGCACATCTAATAATTTAAATACACATGCATATACAATGTAAACATTTTATGTGTATCTTTGCCATAAAATCAAATCTATCTCATTTAGTTCATAAATAAATAGACAGTGTGTGATAATTGTTTTGCAGACCAAAGCAGAGTTCATAATTAACGAAGGGATAATCCATATAAGTCTGCAGATGATTTTAATGCATGACGTGGAGGCAAAGAACCACTCGATGCAAAACTGACCATGTTTTATTCTCCTGTTCTCAGTCTGTAGTTGATTGTGTTCTGGGAAAAACAAACATAATGAAGACAAGAAAAAAAAAAAACATTAAATAGAAAACATCACAATGGGAGCTTGTTTCCACCGAGATAAAAAAAGGGTAAAAAAAATAAAATCTCTTAATAAAAAAAAGATAATTGCGACTTTTTATCATAAAAATCTCGACTTTTTCTGTGCAACTTTGACTTTCTGACAGAATTGTGAGATATAAACTCAGAATTGCGAGATATCTCAGAACTCAGATTGTAAGAAAAAAAGCAGTTTTATTTAAAAGCAGTAGCAATTTGCTTAAAAAAAAGGATTGTGAGGTGTAAACTAAGAATTCTGAGAAAAAGTCTAGTAAGATATAAAGTCAGAATTGCAAGATTTATAATAAGGAATTGCGAGAAAGTCGAAATCAGACAATATTAAATTGAATTGCAACTTTAGGCTATATCTTGCAATAAAAAAAATGCAAGTTTATATGCTATTTATCAGAATTGCAGGAAAAAAGTGCTATTACCTTTTAGATTTTTTTATTCCATGGCAGAGGCAGGCTTCCATAAAACACAGTGTAAATGAATTTCAGATCAAAGACTTCATTAATTGATTAATTCTGAAGCACCACTGGTGCCAACCCAGATAGCAACATTGTTTCGGCCCAGATCCGGCCCACATCTGACACTTGTGGGATACTGATCTGGCCCACATGCAGCGTGCAATGATGCCACTGGGCGGCCGCTCCTGTTTGCCGAATCTGGGGCACAAGCAGGCCATAACAATGCCACATGTAAGCCAAGAGCAAAGAAATAAACCAGAACTGGACCTTATCTGAGCCACAAAGTCTGTGTATATTAAACATGGAGTCATCTCAGCCTTAAGAAGCCTTAAGCAGAATCACTGAAGGAAAGAAGAGAACAGAAAAAGAGACTCATTCCACGCAGCATGTGGGCCAGATCATCATTACACATATGCCAGATGTGGGCCGGATCTGGGCCGAAATAATGTTGCTATCTGGGAATGCTTATGATCTACTTATGATTTGTTTGAGAAATGAAGCCCTGGTCACCAAATAATGATCTAAGTCTAAGATATGCACTTTCCCTTATGTGACAATACTGATTAGTTATTTTGTGGCTGAAAAGAGACTTTAAATGAATAATAACATACTAACTCAAATACCTCTGTATTTATGAAGGAACACAGTAAACAGTATTCCAGCAAAACCACTGAGCACAACTATAACTGAAAACAGGATGGCTGCTGTCCTCCAGAGATTAAACATGCTACCTGTAAAACAAAACTGTGACTTTCACTGAGCACTTTGTGTCCTGTCAAACATTTATTTTTGTTTGATTCAAAATGGTTAATAATGTAAACAGTACTACATTAATGCACTGAATTGATAATCAGTTTTTCTATCCAACTGTATCAAATAACCATAAATTGCACACTAAAAGTGTCAGTACTCACTCACTTGTGGTGTTGATCAGTGTCTCCAGCATGTGATGTCTCAGTTTGACTCTGCAGTGAATCTTGCCACTGTGATAAACAATGACGGCCTGTTTCAGACTGAATCTGTCTGTGTTTCTGTGTGTCTCTGCAGTTTCTGAACTCAAACTGACTCCTTCACTGTCCAGCCACTCCAGATCAGGTTCAGGATACCAACCTTCAGATTCACACTGTAGATGAAGCCCTCCTGAGCGATCAAACCCATCTACAGTGATCACTGGAGGACGTCCCACAACAACTACAGATCAACAGGAAGAACGTTCATTGAGTGAACATGTTATTTGTCTATAAGCCTGTTTTTGTTTGTTGACAAGAACCACAATCAATATCACACTCTAAAAATGCTGGGTTATTTTTTTTAACCCAAAGTTTCATTTTAATGGGTTATTTTTTGTTAATTGTACCCAGGTGGTGGTTAGTTTTTATGTAACTCAGCTGCTGGGTCAATTATTATCATCAAACACACCCAGTACTGGGTAACCCAAGGTTGGGTCTGTGCCAAACCGGTTAAAACTGGATCAATTTGACCAACAGCCATTGTGTTCTGGTCTGAGAGAAAACATCCTGATGAGAAAGCAAATACAGGATCTGCAGGTCCCACTACTTCATACTCCTCTGTTACAAGAGAAAAAAAGCAGAACTAAACTGCATGTCATAAAAGTTGTGTTAACGACAGTTTAAAAAAACGATCATCATATTAAAATACTCTCATTATATTACATGTTTTGCATCCCGTGTGAAAATCCTGCACTAAAAAAAAACATAAGACACACTTTTCCTAAAAAATCATGTTGCCTCTGTCTCCACACTTCAGCATTCGCTCAGCTAAGGATTCATTAACTTCAATAAGCTAAAATCTTTGCTTATAATGCTTTTTGCACTTTTATGGATTGGTTTATTTGTCACATGGCTTTTTGTAACATTTGATTTTTTCATTAAGTGTAATTTTCTACATGCATGTCTGCTGTTTAAACTTTATAAGAATATAAAAAAAATAAAAGATATACAAATTCCGACACGGATATATGATGTATATTTGTTTGTTTATTTGGTATATAATAAGGATAATTTACAATGAACCAGTAATAATTGCAAAATGATTCCAGTCGGACAATGACCAGCTCACTGTACATTGTCCCATACATAAGTTACTTATTAAATCTCCTTCCCTCTTTCTTTTACACATGAACACAATACTTCAAATAATTACCTGATCTTGAATCTGTAGCTCCGCTAATAATCAGGAGGGTCAAACAAATGAACTTCATCTCTGAAAGACACGGATGCTAAAAGAAAACGTATGTCAGAAAGCACAAGATGCTGTGTTAACATGCATATGTTTTTTTTATTTATGTTAGCAACACATGCCCAGAAAATCTAAATTTAGAAAATCTTAGTTAATCTAAAACTCTATTTCACAAATGTTCTTACCTTTACCTCAACACTGTTCCCAGGAGTGTGAATAAATAAGATATGAGAGATCATACGGAGTTTGTTCCTGGTTTGGTTTTTACTTTCTCATATCACTAAACAACTTAAGTGATAACACAGTCCCTCCCATCATACTTCTTAATAACCCAGCCCGGAAAAATCAACGTCTGAAATCAACATCTTCAGGCTTTGACTGTAGGGTTAATTACTTGCATTTGTGGAGGGGTGTGATTTAACTGGGGCGTTCCGAACAAAAGTGTACATCAAAATCCCTTCATGAAAGGCCCATCCACAAGTCCATTATTAAGGGTACATGCGATGGTCCAACGCTATATCTCACGACCAATTCGTACGAATTTGTACGAGTGAGTAAAATGTGGCTGATTCGTACGAATTCGTCACCCTGATGGGTCAGAGATGGGTCAGAGTCACCCCCCTCCGTCCCCCACTCAACTCAGTCCAGCTTACTGACCTCTACATCCCTCCTGCTGCTGAGACCTAACCACAATCTCACAACCCAAGCATACGCGCCAACCCGTTTGACTAAGGTTGTCGAGCCCCACTGTCTTCGGTAAAGTAGGTGGCAACGGTTCCGTATGGCATACTACCGCAAAACACAATATCTACCCAAACACCAACCCTCATTCACGCACTATACACAGGAAAAAAATAACTGTAAGTACTATGCAACCTATACAAATAAACCAACAAACTCTTCAAGTTTTTCAAGAATTCTACGAAACCGTAGCGTGGCGGCCTGTACACAGCCAGCCAGAATATTTCCGTCTCAACCACAGCCAGTTGCTGCTCCCTTCTGCTGCTTCAGATAAGATCTTTACTGTGCGACGCAACTCTTGGCCACTGAATCCGACGTCTCTGAGGAACCGGGTTGTAGAGTGTGCCACAATTCCTCGACAACCCACTTCCACTGGATAAACCTGGACTCTCCATCCTCGCTGTTCTGCTTCAGTGGCCAGATGAGCATACCGCAGTTTCTTCCTCTCATATGCCTCATCTACCGCATCCTCCCATGGCACTCAGGTGCATCAGGTGAGCAAGGCGTGCTGATCCAGACCACAAAACAATATCTGGGCGATCATATGTCCTGGGCAAGAATTGGTGTTAACACCTTTTCTTGGTGGTTGCTCGCCTGGGCGGAGGAATATTGTCTTCTGCGTGTAATGTTTTGCTAGAACAGGCGGCAACTTATTGGTCATACTACGCTTGCCTTCCAATGCTAAAGCCAAACATCGCAGTACTTGGTCATGGCGCCAAGTAAACCGACCTTGGCTAAGAGCCACCTTACATCCTGTCAAAATGTGCCTTAATGTGGCAGGTGATGAACACAAAGGACAAGAGGGATCCTCTCCTACCCAGAGGTTTAGGTTCTTATAACGTCAGTCCACGTCTCATTGACATTTAGACGTGGTCTGGGAACCACATATTCATTTTCTCGTATTTTTGGCGTGGTTTACGAATGCCCAGAGCCGTTTATTGGGTGCTACGAATGTCTATCAAATGCGCCTGTACGTAGCTCATAGCCAATCGTTTCAATTATACCAGATGACGTATGCAGAGCGAAAGAAATTAGACGAGGAAGAAGACGATGGGTCAGAGATTTATTTGCGTTCTAAACTACTTAGAACAATATCCAAGGCTGCATCGAAAGGTAACTTCGCGTCTGCTGCCATGTTTGATCCATAGGTATAAACAAACTGCTTCATTGTGTTGCATAGACGTCGTCATCGTCTTGCTGCTCCCTCCCCGTTCTGTGATTGGTCCCCTCGCTGAGGCGAAAATTTGGTCCATGGTATCCAGACTGCCTAGCAGCATGAATAAAACCGTGCTGCGCAAAGGCAGTATGGGGAAACCCAGGCTACTTCCCTTACACATTTGTCGCGTGACTCTACTAAGGTCATTTCCAGTCTGACCTTGGCACACTTAAACTCCTCGGTTAAAGCGGAGACTGGCAGCTGCAATATTCCTTTACTATAAAGTCCCACTCTGCTGAGGCAGTGTGGAACTCCCAACCATTTCCTGATGTATGAACTTATTAACGCTTCCAGCTTATCCACTGTTGTCAAAGAAACCTCGTACACAGTCAGTGGCCACAGCAACCTCGGCAGTAGACCAAACTGAAAGCACCAGAGTTTTAGTTTGCCAGGTAGAGCACAGCTGTTTATGCTCTTCAACCCTTCCACTGCTTGTCGTCTAACGTCTCCCACCCGAACTGTGTCCTTTAGATCCCCATCGTACCATCTCCCAAGACTCTTCACTGGCTTCTCTGAAACTGTTGGTATTGCCTCACCATTAATGAAGAATGTTTTATCCACTACCTTTCCTTTAACTATCGAGACGCTCTTTGACTTAGAGGGCTTAAATTGCGTTCGTGCCCATTCAATATTATCTGTTAACTTCCCCAATAACCGATTAGTGCAGGCTACTGTTGTAGTCATGGTTGTCATGTCATCCATGTATGCTCTGATTGGTGGTAGTCGCATCCCAGAAACCAAGCGATCTTGATGCCCTAATGATTACTTCCATTGCCATGGTAAAAGCCAGTGGAGAAATGGTGCATCCTGCCATTATTCCAACCTCTAACTCCAAAATTCAGCACTGCTTGGCAATGCCTAGACTCTAGGCATTGCCAAGCAGTGCTGAATTTTGGAGTTGAGAAACTAAATTGCAAATCTCTAAAGTAGGCTTTCACTAAATTTGTGAAAGTTTTACAAAAGTTTTAAGTTTTTAGCAGGGCGTTTTCCAGTGGGCTCTGGACATGGAAAGCTCCACAAACAGCATTACCAGCTTCATTACTAACCAGTTTGACTTTATGTCTGTCACACGTCTACAGAAGTTCTTATTGAGAATTAACAGAGGTTTAGATGTTGATGTATAATGATATTTTGTTTTAATCTCACCTTTACTGTGATCAATGTTTGCTTTATTTGGGCTCTTGATTCATGACTTCTTAATGTTAGTTTTCTCTGACTGCTGTAACTGTGTTTCTTATAGCAAAAAAAAAAAAAAAAAAAAAAAAAAAAAGAGAAAATGTGATCATACAGATATATGGTTTGTATTCACTTCCAATCTGAGACAAGTTGCCTGGCATGTGTCCTGCTAATTTATTTTAATCAATTTGAAGGATTTTTAATTGCTAGCTATTTACGTAGCAAAACTTGATGCAGATCAACAGTCAGTTTTTCATTCAAAACCGATAATTTGTTACAAGTTACATCTATTCATTTAGTATGCAAACATTTTCGATTAAAAATTATTGAATAAAAATTTGATTTACAAAATGTCACAAATTCAAAGTCAGTTATATTACAAGATCAAACAGGTTTGTTGCATTTTGACTTCATTTTTGTTAGGGATTCTGAGAACTTGTTGATTCATTTCTGAATATAATAAAGAGGAATATTTTGCCAATGTTAGAATGTAATTAATCACATAAAACCATAGATAGACTGTATGAATAAAACACAAAAGTCTTTGGTTCTACCACACATTATATCTACTAAGGTGAAAGTATCAGCAAACACCCGTTTTTCTATCAGTCAATCCTGTAATGTTCTCCAAAAAAAGCCGCTCGAGAAATTGCATGTAAGGCATTTTACACAGGCATGTATCGAACTGCACTCATACGTCATCAGCGAGCGTCCGCCGTGTCCTTTCAGTCACTGTACGCCTGTCACGCCGTAGTTTCCAGTCCTCTATAGGTCAAACTACAGCATCAGCTGAAGCAGAAATGATCCGATCATTAAGTTTACTCAAATATTCACTGAATGTCTCTCAACGAGCACATGTCAGGCTATTATCATCCAGCAGAGGAGTCGGGAAAAGAATAGTGCCCGCGACATTCACTGGAGGTACATATTTAATGAACATGTTTACGAACTGTTAAATAATATGATCAGCGAATTAGAACAGACCAGCATTTAATGACATCATACGAGTTGAATTATTATTTTAATCAAATAAACGCAGTCTTTTCAGTTAATAGTATGTATTTATCAGATTATAGTGTCACATGTTGACAAAATGAACACATTTATGCAGAATTATTCTATTCTAAATCGAATGATATTCTATATGTTAAGTAATGATAGCTGTCTCCGTGAATAATCTCCATATTTACATACGTATGCAGATGTAAAGACTATAGAGCACAGGCAGTAACAATGATCCAGTCCAAACCCGTCTGATTGGTGATATAATCATCAGTGCTGTTTAATTGTGATGACTCTATCTCTGTTCTTCTTCAACAGTTGATACTGATGGCAGACCTGCCAGACTGTGGAGCTGCAGCTGTGCTGGTGTCAGTGTGGCTCGCCGCTCCTACAGCACACAACAGGCCGAGACGGCAGAGGAGGAGACGCTCCACAGCATCATCACCGACACTGAGAACGTCCAAGGTCAACTAAAGCAGCAAAGCAGCATATTGAGGGAATAGTTCACCCAAAAATGGAAACTCTGTCATCATTTACTCACCCTCATGTTGTTTCTTTCTTCTGCTGAACACAAAAGGAGATATTTTGAAGAATGTTGGTAACCCGACAGTTGATGGGACTCAATTGACTTATATAGTATTGAAAAAAAATATATATATACTATGGAAGTCAATGGGGTCAATCAACTGTTTGGTTACAGACAAACAATCTTCAAAATATCTTCTTTTGTGCTCAGCAGAAGAAAGAAACTAATACAGGTTTGGAAAAACTTGAAGATGAGTAAATGATCACAGAGTTTTAATTTTTAAGTGAACTTTTAAGGGTTAGTTCACCCAAAAATGAAAATTCTGTCAGTAATTACTCACCCTCATGTTGTTCCAACCCCGTAAGACCTTCGTTCATCTTCGGAACACAAATTAAGATATTTTAGATGAAATCTGAGAGCTGGATCACTCCTCCATAGGCTTCTTCAGGGATTGAACTTGCCGGCCTCGAAAAGTTATTAAAGACATCGTTAAAATAGTCCAAGTGACTACAGTGGCTCAATCTTAAGTTTATCAAGCGACGAGAATACTTTTTGTGCGCAAAAAAAAACAAAAATAACGACTTTATTTCAACTATTCATTTCCTTCTCTTTGGGCCTCGAGTCAGTTAACGTAGTGTGATTCCGTAGAGCTACGTCACACGTAGGCTCACTATTGGCCGACGCTGGTCATGTGCGTGATGCGCGTGACGTACAACAACAGAAGCTTACGTTATTATACTAGTGAACTGACTCGAGGCCCACAGAGAAGGAAATGAATAGTTGAAATAAAGTCGTTATTTTTGTTTTTTTTTGCGCACAAAAAGTATTCTCGTCGCTTGATAAACTTAAGATTGAGCCACTGTAGTCACTTGGACTATTTTAACGATGTCTTTAATAACTTTTCGAGGCCGGCAAGTTCAATCCCTGAAGAAGCCTGGACTAGTATGGAGGAGTGATCCAGCTCTCAGATTTCATCAAAAATATCTTAATTCGTGTTCCGAAGATGAACGAAGGTCTTACGGGGTTGGAACAACATGAGGGCGAGTAATTACTAATAGAATTTTCATTTTTGGGTGAACTAACCCTTTAAGAATGATTTCTGAAGGGTCATGTGACTCTGAAGACTGGAGTAATGATGCTGAAAATTCAGCTTTGATCACAGGAATAAATAACATTTTAAAATATATTCAAATAGAAAACAGTTATTTAAAATTATAATAATATTTCACAATATTGTTTTTACTGTATTTTTGATCAAATAAATGCAGCCTTGGTGAGCATAAGAGGCTTCTTGAAAAAAAACAACAACATACAAATATCTTACAGACTATAGCGTTTGGAAATTGTAAGGATGTTCAAACTCTTGTTTCTTTGTTCAAATAAGGATCCTTCTCCAAACACGAGTTCCAAGCTGAGACGAAGAAACTGCTGGATATTGTGGCCAGATCGCTGTATTCTGAGAAAGAGGTGATATGAATTAACAACAAAAAAATTATGTAATGCTGTCATGTTTGAGCAATTCTCTTGACGCATTCAAGGCTGATCCTAGAGGATTGAACAATAAATTGTCCAGGCGGATTATTTGATTTCATCTGATTTGTCAATCATTAAAGTTGTATGATGTTTATAATCTACAATATATTGGCTGTAGGCCACCATATAGATCTGATCAAATAATAATCAAGTAATTAAATATTTAATCAGCTTGATATGGCTAAATATGGTCATTTTGGTCTTGTTGGAGTACAAAATAAATAGTGATAAATATGCCATTCAGTTTCAAGGATTGGAACCTGATATACAACTAGAAAACCACCCCAGAAATATCTATAAATTATTTGTAAAAAATGTAATAGTAATCATAAATGCATTGATGCGAGTGTGCTGGAAGTCCATCTAACGGTCAGTGACTCGGTCAGGTGTTCATCAGAGAGCTGATCTCAAACGGCAGTGATGCGCTGGAGAAGCTGCGGCACAAGATGATGACATCGGGAGGAGCGAGCGCAGACATGGAGATCCACCTGCAGACGGATGCAGCCAAAGGCACCTTCACCATACAGGTACTGTATCTCCAACCCATGCAGATTAAACCGCTGGTACTGCTCCGTTTTTCCAGGCTAAGTCATATTCCTTTGCCCATCACTTTATTAAAATACTCGAGACTGATAGCGTTTTAAGGGAAGATGAAGAACAGCTTTTCTTTTGCCAATCAATTTGTGTAATTCCAAAGCTGTTTTCAATTTATGAAATATCTAAAGCCACACAATTAATCATTATAAGATTGCGATCTCGATTCAGACACCCACACAATCTTCTTCCTAAATGACAGCGATTCGCGATCACATGTCATGTATAGTGTGAAACAGCTTCACAAACAGTCTTTTCATCCACACAGTGTCATTATTTCTGTCCAACAATAATTCATATTATCACAGAAATACTGGGATACAATTTTATAGTTCAGATATAAACACTGACGTCTACGGAAGCAGTCAGCAAGCTTTTGAAAGTAACTTGACGCTTCAAATACAGATTGTATGGATTACATTGTTAGGCCAGTAGGTGGCGACAAGTGAACGTTAAAAAATGTGTTTGTCATTGAATCATTCATTCAAGAGATTCGTTCAGAAACACTGATTCATATAAAGTAATGAAAAAAGTGTTTATGAGTGAGTCATTGATTCAAACCGATAAAAATAATAATAATTCATTCAAATTAATTAAACATTTTTAAATGGACTGCAGTAATTAATATTTTGACAGAATCTTTAGTAAATTCAGTGTTATTTTGTTTAGTTGTCTTTTCAGAATCTTTTCAGAAAATTTTGATTCTCAGTTTATCCAGAATCATGCAGCTCTACTTGACACTTTTTAGTCATACATACAAACAATTATAGATCCAGAATATTTAGCACAAGTACATTTAAAGAATCCTTTATAGAATTTTACTAGTTTTGTACATGTACTTATATTTTTATTAAATTTTTTTTGGATTGTCTAAGTTTGTTTTTATTATGTTGTTGATATTATGTTGTTAAATGTTTAATGTGTATCTGCCATGTAACGGTGATGCTGATATGGCAATAAATCTCAAATACTACTAATACAATCAACATCTACATAACTTTCCAGTGCATATGTTTTTTTTATTTTTTATCTTTTAACAGCAAACAGTGTTTTGTTTTAAGTGAACCTCTAACACTTAACAACAGTGAACAAAACCTCGGATGATTTCTTCAACGTGTCGAATCTAAATGCCTCAAGTGGCCATTGCACTCATAATCCGACAGAAACGTGTGTTTGGTTGTCATGCTCAACGCTGTAAAAAGCAAGGCATGAACATAAATCTTTAATGCACCGTGAGCAGATCTACATATAAAGTCACGACTGAAACTTTTCATTAATTTTCACATTACACTTTAATCGCGACGGTCGTGTTGGATTTAGTTTAATTGTGCATTTTTTAGCCCCTGTGTCTTGAATTTTGCCCCAAAACCCCCATTAATTTCCATCTCTGATCTGCACAGATCTTATACATGGCCTCTGCAATTTAACTGAAGGAAATCATTATAGCAGTAGATCCCTTTTAAATGCATTGATCGACATGTTTATGCTTTGATTTGTAGGACACAGGTGTCGGGATGAACAAAGAGGATCTGGTTGCCAATCTGGGCACCATCGCTCGCTCTGGATCAAAGGTGCGTCTCATTGAACTCTCCCAAAGTCTGCTATTCCTCATTCTGACAGTGGGTTTGACGTCTTCTCCTCTGGTCCATCCTCCTGCAGGCCTTTCTGGACGCTCTTCAGAGTCAAGCCGAGGCCAGCAGCTCCATCATTGGTCAGTTCGGTGTGGGCTTTTACTCCGCCTTCATGGTGGCTGATAAGGTGGACGTTTATTCTCAGGCAGCAGAACCAGACGCTCCCGGGTACAAGTGGTCCTCAGACGGGTGAGACAAATCAGAAGAGAGATGGATTTAATAACTTAATAATAATAATTTAATGTCTTTTGATTACGGCTGCTCGATTATGACAAAAATCATAATCCTTGTTGTAATTACAAGTATTTAACACTATTAGTAGTGGGCGATATGACCATTAATTGAGTAATTACAGACCGAATTTACATTTTTGGGTGAACTAACTCTTAAAGTATTTTTTCCACAATAGTGATAAATATCAAGTATATTTGATTGGAAATAAGGTTTTTGAAATGTCACTATTCTTGATATCAGTTTTGATACGACAGCAGAAACTAATAATTAAAAGTCCATTATTAAAGAAACGCAAACAGTCATTAATGCGATAAAAAACAAACAGGACAAATGCAATGCAAATGTGTAGTAGGACAGTGACGTTACATGATTTGACTGATCTGGACGTTACGTTTTAAAGGAATTGAATGTGGCACAATGGTTTTATCTTGATTATCATGTTTTCATAATAATTGAAAGCTGAAATCAAAACTAATATTCGATTCATCACAGCCCTACTTTTTATTAGCATCAGCAATCGGAACGGAACTGGAAATCTTGGCCGGCTTTTGCATTATTTGTGGATATTAGACCACTTTTAGGCATCTGAGGTTAACATTTGAATAACATGAATCACGTTTTTGTGTTTTACTGACTGAGTTTTGTGTGTCTGCAGCTCTGGGGTGTTTGAGATCGCAGAAGCCTCCGGTGTGCGCCAGGGCACTAAGATCGTGCTCCACCTCAAGGACGACTGCAAGGAGTTCTCGTCAGAAGATCGTGTCAAAGGTCTGTAAATCACCATGACATAAACATGCCGTGCTTGGAGAAGAAGCTCATGTAAGTGACTTTGGTCTGTTTTGCAGAGGTTGTGACTAAGTACAGCAACTTTGTCAGTTTTCCCATCTTCCTGAATGGACGTCGGCTGAACACCCTGCAGGTGTGTGAAGTCTGCTGATCGATGACCTTTGACCCCCCTGTGGCTGTGATCCTGAGTCCTGTTTTCCTCTCTCTCTCTCTCTCTGCAGGCGCTCTGGGTGATGGAGCCCAAAGACATCAGCGAGTGGCAGCATGAGGAGTTTTATCGCTACGTGGCTCAAGCCCACGATAAACCCCGCTACACACTGCACTACCGCGCTGACGCCCCGCTCAATATCCGCAGCATCTTCTACGTGCCGGAGATGGTGAGTGTGAGATGACAGTTATTGTACACAGTTGTGGAACTTAGTCTTTTATACACAATGCTTTTTTGCTTTAATAACTGTTTTTCTATGTATACAAGTGAGACGGATGTTTTTGACTGTATACTCGCGTCTTGCATATTTTGCATATGACGCATTATTATTAAAAACACGGCAAAAAAAGTGATATGGTCCTCACTGCAGAACACGAAATCCAGGGGGAGGAGTTGGATCCAGATCCAACTCCTCCCACCTTACACATACCTAAACCTACCCATCTCCGCCCCCTGATCCCTAACCCCACCCCTAATCCTACCCATCTCCGCCCCCTGATCCCTAACCCCACCCCTAATCCTACCCATCTCCGCCCCCTGATCCCTAACCCCACCCCTAATCCTACCCATCTCCACCCCCTGATCCCTAACCCCACCCCTAATCCTACCCATCTCCGCCCCCTGATCCCTAACCCCACCCCTAATCCTACCCATCTCCGACCCCTGATCCCTAACCCCACCCCTAATCCTACCCATCTCCGCCCCCTGATCCCTAACCCCACCCCTAATCCTACCCATCTCCGCCCCCTGATCCCTAACCCCACCCCTAATCCTACCCATCTCCGCCCCATGATCCCTAACCCCACCCCTAATCCTACCCATCTCCGCCCCATGATCCCTAACCCCACCCCTAAGATCTGGATCCAACTCCGCCCCCTGGATCTCGTGTACTTCAATGAGGTGCTACTGAAAAAAGTCGATTGATTGTTTTTTATTCCACCGCCCTGCGTCTCTAATTTTTATCCTCAAAAACACGTTCTGTGTGAATGGCCTTGTTCATTAAAGCAGCAGAGCCACTATGACTTGCATTATTCAGGACTGATGTTACTCTTTTAATAAATATAATAAAGTTCTGTAAGCTCACTTGTCAAATATTTCTTAATATTATACAATTTTACCTATTAAACATAATATCTAGCAATTTAACTATACAAACTGAGCAATTCTAATAGGGTCCTCACACCATCTGTGCTCTGGCCCTAATGACAACTGAAATATGCATTTAAATTACTCATTTGTACATTATATGCATTTATTTCAACTTAAATTACAGTAGGTTAGGTAATTTAAAAAGTATTTACAGTTTATAATTACCATTTTTTAATTATTATTCAGCTTGTTACATAATTTAACAACTGAAATATGTATTTAAAGAACTAATTTGTGCATATTTCCATTCACATGCAATTAAATTAATTGAATTAAACTTAAAAATCTTAAATAATAAACTTAAATAAAAATTGCATTAAAAAAAAGAATATTTACATCTTTAAAAATTACATTATACATCTAAAATTACTTAAAAATAATTTTATTAATTTTAAATTAATTAGCCAGTTAAATAATTTAACAAATAAAATGTCAATTTAAAACACTAATTTGTACATATTTTAATACAAATGCAATTTATTACAGTATGTACATAATTAAAATTTTCATTATAAATATTTAAAAAAATGATTATTTATTTACTCGGCCTGTTACTGTCACGGTTATGTTCCGTCTCGTCTGCACCTGTTCTTGTTAGTCCCTGATTATGATCTTAGTTCCCTCATTTACTTTGTGTGTATATTTTCTCTGTTCAGTTATTGTTTGTGTTTACTCGTGTCTGTGTTTACACACACCGTTACGCTGTTCACCTGCGTGTTGCATTGAACTTCTTATGTCTGTCTGCGTGACAGTTACATCATTTGACAACACAATTGTAACTCAAATATTCATTTATTCGTTTTAATATTATATACTGTTTTTCAGTTATACATTTTATTTAGTATTTAGTAATCACTCTTCTTTCTTCTTACAAAATAAAATAATGAATTCAAATGAATATTTCATGTCCGTTGAATTGGTAATCAGCCGTATAATAAATCCTGACTGCATTACCCCGTTTGTAAACGTGTGTGTGTGTGTGTGTGTGTGTGTGTGTGTGTGTGTGAGCAGAAACCGTCCATGTTTGACGTGAGTCGTGAGATGGGCTCCAGTGTGGCTCTGTACAGCAGGAAGATCCTGATCCAAACCAAAGCCACAGACATCCTCCCCAAGTGGCTGCGCTTCCTGCGAGGTCGGATGAGCGTCCGTACATCTGCATGAACTAATGTAAATGCCAGATAAACACATTTGAACCCAATCAAGTTTGGCCGTGTGATTGCGTTTGCAGGTGTTGTGGACAGTGAAGATATTCCTCTAAACCTCAGCAGAGAGCTTCTTCAGGAAAGCGCCCTCATCAGGTACAAACCCGCCAGAAATATGAAGTTATGCCTTCAAATAACAAGAGTAACAAACTGTATTCCTTCAGGAAACTGCGGGATGTTTTGCAGCAGCGTGTCATTCGCTTTCTTTTGGACCAGAGCAAGAAGGATCCGGAGAAATACGCTCGCTTCTTTGAGGACTACGGGCTGTTCATGCGCGAGGGCATCGTGACCACAGCGGAGCAGAGCGTCAAGGTGCGGGACGCCTCCGTCACCCTTCATGATCTGCCCGTTCCTCTCTGATGGGTTTTAAATGGATGATTCGTGTGTTCACAGGAGGACATCGCCAAGCTGTTGCGCTTCGAGTCGTCAGCGCTTCCCGCGGGACAGCACACCAGTCTGACGGATTACGCCTCTCGGATGAAGGCGGGAACGAGGAACATTTACTACCTGTGCGCACCCAACCGCCACCTGGCCGAACACTCGCCGTACTTCGAGGCCATGAAGCAGAAAGACATGGAGGTGAGACGAGAGACGGACAGGTCTACACATTCAACAACTAATGGCCAGTAAATCTAGAAGTAACAAACATAGATTTGCTGGAAACAATTGATAACTGAAATACATAAACATAAAATGAGCGTTATTCATCAACAAGGATGTTGGGAGATTTTGAGATGAACACAAGGGGGTGCAAAGACTTTTCAAATTTTCTAAATGGCCAAAATATAATGGTCAGCACAGCAGGTAAAGAAGCTTTGAAATGGCATTTATTAAAACATGTTATCTTGTCTGTGATCAAAGCATGACAAAGTATTTTTTATTGAATTTTCTCATCATTTTGACTTACAAAAAGTTTCTCGAGATTGCATATTTTCTCTCTTAAGAAAATAGACGTCCCAGACCCATTTGAAAGGTTCTTAATTGTAAATGCTTAACCAGTTGCATATAATTTAATATAGAAATACACATTTAATAATATAATATTAATTCATATATAAATATAGGGTAATAAAGAGAATATTCATTTTTATTTGAAGCCTGTCTGTTATTTTGCACCACAGAAAAAAAACCCAAATAACTAGGCCAGATCAGAAAAAGATCTTGCCTAATTATAAAACTTTTAATAAGAAAAAAATATTTAATTTATATATTATAATATATTAAATAAATAACATTGTACATTTTTAAATCTTTAAAAAAGATCAAATGGGTTTTTTAATCTTTAACCTTAAAAACATCAAACTCCAAATAAAAGATGTATTTATTTATTGCTTTTTATTTCTTATTATTGATTATTCTGTTAATCATTGTATATTATCGGATTTTTATGGGATTTCTAATAGGTCAAAAACACATGGTTGAGATCATGCTGAAATTGGATTGAAATCATAAAGACAGTAGCCTGGGAAAACCCAGACAACTTCCGGCAAATTTAGATTTGCTCTGAAAGTTAGTCTGGCAAAGAGCTCATTCAAGCCCATTTCCAATCCGTCGAAATCGAGGCACCAATCAGAAACGTTGGGGTGGGCTTTACACGATGATGACAGCGCTGGGATTTTGAAGCAGATTTTGTAGCCTACATTACAAAGATGGACGCCGCCGTCGAACATCACTCGTTCGAATCAGCTATCGCGTCTGTTTTAAGCGATTTGAACGTTTCCTTTTTGTTAAAAACCGAGTAAAGAACAACACTCGGAGATGTTTCTCCGCCGCTCTGCATATGCTATCTCCTTCATCGCTCTGATTGGGTTTAGGTCTATCCGCGACGTCCGGTGGTGACGCCCCTCTGGAAATGATTTGTCTATGACGCTTTGCCAGACCATAACTCAGTTACAACTGAGAATGGTCTGGTTTTAACCAGGCTAATAAGACAGTGGAGATGCTGAGGAAAGTGAAGTAAGAGGAAAGGCCGTGCCTGTGTTTGAGGATCTGCTCTTCCTGCAGGTGTTGTTCTGCTTCGAGCAGTTCGATGAGCTCACGCTGCTTCACCTCAGAGAGTTCGACAGGAAGAAGCTCATCTCAGCCGAGACCGACATTGTTGTGGACCATTACAAGGAGGAGAAGTTTCAAGACAGCAAACCAGGTAAGACAAAACATCAGCAAATCGATGACACGTGACATGAATTGCTCATCATTTGTGAATAACTATATATTTGACATTTTGTAAAAGCACTTTAATGTGATTTAAACATTTGGATGAGCACTGGTGATGCGTTTGTCCCGTGCAGCATCAGAGCGCTTGACCGATCAGCATGCAGAAGATCTGATGGCCTGGATGAGGAACTCGCTCGGACCGAGAGTCACCAACATCAAGGTGAAGCACTTTTCACAAACATGACCTTGTTTATGTACACGTGATGCGCATGTGCGCGCCATCTGCGTTTTCGCGGGTTTGAGGTTGGCGCAGAGATAACGAATAATCGTTCGCACCTTCGAACCCATTTCAGGGAGTGCGTTCTCGGGACACCTGGCACTGTGTTGTAGGGCTGTCAACTTTAGTCGACTAATCGGTCGATGCCGTCTTGGTCGACTGACATTCTTATTGGTCGACCAGTTGCATTTTTTTTTTTACCAATTGAAAGAAATTTTCAATGATTTACTCCTTGATATTTATTCCTTTATAAGCAGTTATACAGTATATTACTGTATTCTAAATATAATTAGCCTATGGTTTATCCCCAACTTTAAATGCTTTAATTTAGGCTATTTGTAACAGCGCCACAGTTTAGCGCACACACTTAGAACACTCGGTTCGCCCCTGTGGCTGCGCTGCTGCTTCGTGCTCAGTAAGGGATATAGCTAGTTTAGCTGTATTCATTCAGTTAGAACGCTACTTGTTTTGTTTTTTAAGTTTTTATACACTGTTTTTATCTCGATGCGGCGTGGACGCACTTGGGGAAAAAAAGAGCGCGTCGCACCGCGACCGCGTTGCTTCCATCATGAGCGCGCACACCGCGCGCCTACATTTGAAATCGAACTTGAGCGCGCAAAAGACGTGAGCAGTCCCTTTTAATGGCTTTATCATGCTGACTCAATAGATTGTGTTTTCTTGATATGTTTTTGTTTTTATTTGTACACTTGACGCATTTAAAAATAGCCTAAATAATGTAACAAAACGAAAAATAAACCTATATGCGGTCCTACAATACAGCCTATTATTATTAGGATTGTTTTTTAGGCTCTTTGGTTTTTTTTGTGTGTTTGTTTTAAAACTCCTAGATCGGCTGGACAAAAGTTAACCCATAGCTTTGAAAGTAAAGAAGAATATACAGCCTGTATAAACGAGAGCTTTTGTTAGGATTTTTCATTGTGGCAGATAGCAGTTATATTTTTTGTAGCGTGTGGTGTGGTCAGGTGCGCGATTGTGACTGTTACTATAGACCTAGCTAGGACAGTGCTCCTCACTTTTTGCAGTTAAAAAAAAAATCACTTAATTTTCATAGAATTGTATTATTATTATAGTTTTATGTATTTTTGATGTTTTTCGTTGTTGTTTTATAAATGCTCTATGACAATTGTTAAAAAATGTTCAATAAAAACATAGCGTCTTTTTTTTTTTTTTTTTTTTTTCGACTAATCGTTGCGCAGGACAAGACTTTGGTCGACTAAGGATTTCTTTGGTTGACTACAGCCCTACTGTGTTGTGCGGATCGGAGCGCGTTAAGAGTTTTCCTGTCAGAACGGTGTCGTGTTAGCGGCCCCTAAGTTAATAACTAATGATCTTCGCAACGGAAGTGAATCAATCAAAACTAACTTTAGCTGGACAATAACTTTATCCTAGAGCTGTTGTAAAGCCTAAACAATCTGTTATGGTAATTTCTACTATAACTGTAAAGCTGCTTTGAAACAATGCATACTGTTATAGGGCCAAATGGTTATGACAAGACCACTGGGTCAGAGTGTCTCTGAAACGATAAGGCTTGTGTGTTGATCCTGGTCAGCGATGCTGAGGATTTACCAACAGTGTCAGAGGAGGAGCGCACAAGACTCATCGATGCACGAGGGCAGCAAAGGCAATCGCGTCCGGTCCGAGCCAACAGAAGGTCTATGATACTAATAGGAGGAATGTGTCACAGTCCAATCAGAGTGCCTATGATGACCCCTGTCCACCGGTGAAAGCACCTGCAATGAGCAGGAGGTCATAATAAACCTCGGAGCAGAGGAAGAGGGTCGCCTGGTCCAATGAGTCCTTTACGTGTGCGCTGTTTACCCGGGGAAGTGATGTCACCAGGACACACTGTGGGACGACGACAGGCCGGTGGAGGGAGTGTGATGCTCTGGGCAACGTTCTGCTGGGAAATACCAGGGGCCTCATTTATAACCGCTGCGTACGCACAAAACAGGCCCTGAAAGAGGCGTACGCCACTTCCCACGCATAAGTTGTGGTTTATAAAAACAAACTTGACGGGAAAAATTGCCCACCTGCACGCAAACTCTGACCCATGCGTACGGACGTTTTGGAGACGGAGCAGTTTGGCGACACCGATGGTGAGAAAATCTAAAGAAAATTATACATATACAGAAAGATAATACAAATATAATTTCACAAACCTATCATCACTTGAAGCAAATATCCATCCCTTCTTAAAGGTCTGTGCCAGCGAGCGCGCTGGGCTGTTTAGTGATACTGACGCATATATAGCCTATCTAACATCAGATGAAGTAAAACCGTAAATCTTCATTATGAGTCATAATCATAAATACAGTGTATGTTCACAATAACAGTTTAAATAAATAAAAAAATGATTTAAACTATGTTTTACTTCTGATATAAACATTTAGATTAAATATGCCATTCTCATTAATGGAGTTAAACACTTAAACTACATTAAATCATTACTGAGAAGTTACAAAAAAAAATTATATTCAATAAATAGACCTATTTGTTGTGGATGCAATGCTTTTGAACACTTTTCCTCTGCCATGCTGTGCATGTTTTAACTGATAGCTAATAGCAGATTGTCTGGGAGAATTGTTTCGTGCAAATAATGCACAACAATGTCTATCTGTTTCCATTTAAAAATATAAATCAATTGAAAATACTATTTGGCCAGTGGAAAAGATTGAGAAAAACTTTCTCTGAAATGTGTTTTACACTATTTGATTTATTTATTCAAAAACAAGGCAAGGATATAGGCTACTAAAAAAAAGTTATGAATGTAATAATAACGTCTTGTACCGTTAAACATGGTATCACGTGGATGAATAATCAAATGCAAATGACATGCAGATGAGGATATGCGTAGTAAAACTAGGTGTTGTAATCTCCATATATGGTTATTTCGGGGAGGAGACGCATGTGCGCACAATCTTCCGCTGACTGGGATTTATAAAGTGAATTCTGCGCAGGTTCTGGCGTACGAACGGTTTTATAACTCTGAATATTTTTTTTCCGTACGCCATTTTTGGCTTTCGGGCGCACGTACACTTTTAGTAAGGATCCTACGCACAGTTTTATAAATGAGGCCCATGGACATTTGCAGACCAGGAGCACCTCTTCATCACACTGCTGTTCCCTGGGGGAAGCGTCTCTTTCAACAGGAGAATGTACTCGCACTGCAAACATTGATCAGGAGTGCTTTGAGGAACATGATGAAGACCTCAAGGTGTTGCCCTGGCTCAGTTCAGTCGAGCATCTGTGAGATGTGCTGGACCAACAAGTCCGATCCACAGCGGCTCCACCTCGCAACACACAGGGCTTGACGGATCGGCTGCTAATGTCCTGGTGCCAGAGACCACAGCTCACCTTCAGGGGTCTAGTGGAGTCCATGCCTGGTTTTCAAACAACACAAACCAATATACCATGTCTATTTATTTGTTTAGTAGCCAGTCATGTAATACATCCTAATCATTCTTTGCATTACAATGATAACCTGCTTAATTCAAGGCGTTATTTTGTTGTTGAATTATGTAACAGACTAACTTAAAGTCAGCATATAGCAGAAAAGACTCTCGAAAAATAAACAGTAGGGCGGGGCTTGATTTTGTCCATCAGGAATTGATCGGATCTTTTGTCGTCAAATCATTTTCATAATTTTCCTCATGCACACAGATTTTCTCTTGCGAATGCATGGATACCTGACATCTGTGATTACCGTTGCTTCCGTAGGTGACGCCGCGCCTGGACACACACCCCGCCATGATCACAGTGCTGGAGATGGGAGCCGCGCGTCACTTCCTGCGCACGCAGCAGCAGTTCGCCCGCAGCCCAGAGGAGAGAGCTCAGATCCTGCAGCCCACGCTGGAGATCAACACTGGGTACCCGACTCACACGCACTAACTATCCGACCGTCAGGACCAGAACAATCCCTAGTGGTTTACCACAGATGCAGAGAAACTGTGTATTCAAGAGGCGTTATTATTCAAAACAGTGGCAGATGAGTAACATCTGTCTGCAGAATGTATTCAGCTAAAGTACACTGGGAAAAATTAATTTGTCTTAGGGACCATTCCAAATATCTAAACATTCTTAAATCAAGACAAATTATGTAGTGTAAAATGTATAAAAAATGGAGTTTATGCTTAAAAAACGAAGAAAAAAAAAATTCTAGTGGTAAAATCTTGCTTTCCCTTTTAATGAACTGTATTTTTCTGACCCTACCGGCAGGTGATTGTTCTTATTTTAAGCATATACTTATTTTTTGGATGATTTTGTTCAGAAACCAAGCTGATTTTTGCTTCTCATGTTAATGCATCTTGATTTAAGATTTTTTTGTTAGGTATTTGTACTGGAAAACATTATTTTTGTACTGAAAATAATTGTCCAGTGTATCTAGGAGTGTGACTGACCACTAAAGTGAAGTGTACTGTGCTTGCATGAATAGAAATCCTGTGGTTTCTCTAATGTCAAGCGATTGTTTGCAGACACGACCTGATCAAGAAGCTTCACGCACTGAAGGACTCGAGCCCTGAGCTGGCACAGCTTCTCCTTGAACAGGTGAAGAGAGATTCCCACAAATACACCATTCTCTCACCTCACCTATTTAGAATTGAAAACTAAATGGCTTTTTTTTTTACGCACCAGATTTACGACAACGCCATGATCACGGCCGGGCTGAACGACGACCCTCGTCCGATGATCTCCCGACTGAATCAGCTCCTCACTCAGGCGCTGGAGAAACACTGATGTGTTCAGCCCGACGGACTTGTTTTGCCATCATTCGAGCCGTGTGTTGATGCACACAGACTGCCGAGGTCGTGAGCGCACTGAACACAAGCAAACGCTGTTTAGAAGACGACTTGAGAATCTTTGTGCAGGTGTGACATTGTCGTTTAGGTGAGAGTCGTGTTTTACAGCTGATGAGACTGAGATTTCACCGTCCAGCCAACAATCGTCTGATTGGAGAAAAAGAAAACCAACAATTCAGTGTTTTGTGACTGTCAGAGATGCAATCCCTGCATTTACCTGGAAATATACATGAAAAATTGCCATAGCAAGATGAAGTGGAGCGTCGTCTTATTTTCTGTCCCTTTTTCACTCGAAAATTATTCACATTTCAATTCATTGGCTCATTATATTAACTGCTTTTCCGTGTGTAAATTGTGATTAGAGTGATGCAAATATGAAATAAAACATGAAATGTCTTAAATGTATTTCACAAATTTTAACTTTAGTTTGAATACTTTTGTAACATTTACAAGACCCCTGTAATAGAACATTTCTATGGATAGTAATGCTTTTATTTATCTCGTGTCTTGAGAAATGGCATAGATTATTCATAAACTGTGTTCCTGTGCTCACTTAACAGCTCACCAGAAATTGTACAATTTTGTAAACTGGAATGAAAATACCATCTCTGATGTGATCATATTGAACTCTTTGAAATGAAATAGAAAGCCAGTGTGCTCCGAAATGGTGACTTGCGCCACAAGGGCTTTAAACTGCAGTTTCGCCATTCAGACACCAGGAGGCGCAGTGACGCCAGTGATGAGTGTATACTGGGATCGGCCTGTTACTCACGCATTTACAGTAGATCATGCAGATTTTAGTTATTAGTATTGTTAAGAATCTGCTTAAATGATGTAGTGCTTGGTGTTATATTTATATTTTCAGACAATAATAAAAAAATAAAAAGATAATTAAAGTAGCCTACCGGCTATATTATATTTAACCCAACAATTTAACATCACACTATAAAAGTCAATGTTTGGACGTTTTTAAACAATGCCATCACTTTTATTTAAATGCTCCTGTAGCACGACCAAACGTACACACATTCGTTCAATTAATTTGAGCTCATATGCTGCGTGCATAATAAAAATAATGAGAATGCTTTTTCAGCTCTAGATGGAGCATAGTCTGTCGCAATTTAACCAATCGCTATTATAAACCATACTTTCATCATGGATTAGCTATATAAGAAGGCGTTAACGTGCCAGACTCAACTGTACGGCGCTGCTGCCTGTTCCCACAGAAAGCGTTCTTGCGTTTAAAACCGCGAGAAGCAACGCTGAGGAAATGAAGAGCGCTGGGTCTCCACGTTTTTAAACGTTTAACTTGAAGAAAAAAAAAAAAACAAGCTTTAAAAGCAGCCTTTTGCAGCACGACTGTCTTCAACACCGCTCATGTTTGCGTTCTAAGAACAAATAGAACGAATAGAACGCAGCGCGACTGGAACGCTAAACACGTTCTGTAAATCTGACCTGCTCAGGATGACATCAGTTAAAACTGATGTTTATGATCACGAACATAAGAAGCATGTTGAGAGAGGCGAAGAAAAACCTGTCGAGATCTGCGGTTTATGCGTTTAAAGCGTTGGTAACACATTTTGTGAGGTTGAACGCCGGAAAAGTCCTGTAAAATATAGGTTACAATGGTGGTAGCACTACTTTTCTGGAACCCTGAAATAGTGTGGACACAGCGGAGTAATCTCACATCTTAAACAAAATAAATTTAGATAAGCTCCAAAGGTAAATGGACCGTTTCACCGTTTGTATCACTCCGAGGTCACGTACACACTTGCAAAGTAACAACCGCATTTAAACGCAAAATACAGGAGTTGCTCCGTTAATGTAGATGACTGAAGTAGTGATAGGCCTGCCTAAAACAATTTTTGACTTTTCGCAGCTGTAAAGAGACAATTTGACATTTTTGGCAAATCTATTTTTGACCAAAGTAACTAGGTTACATGAGTATGAAAGGCCATTTTCATCTTAGGCTATAAGAAAGAAAAAAAAACATGCATTGGAAAATCAGAATTGACAAAAAAAAACACACAAAAAACGTCATAATAATGAGATAGTAATTCACAATTATGTGATCAAAAGTCAAAATTGTGACATACAAAGTCATAATTGAGATTAAAAGTAAAAATGACAAAATTTCAAGTCAGTTTACTGTTTTCCACTACAAAGTGAAAACTTATGCGTTTTGGCCGTTCATTTACACGACAACGGCGTTTCGAAATGCAAACCTAAAAAAATAGTTTTCAAAATGTGTTTCAAAGTGGAAGTTTTTGAAAACAACAGTGTTATAGTCTCCGTGTAAACAACAAAAACGTGAATTTGTAAAAACGGTGAATCATGCGGATTACATTTTCAGTCTATAAGCACGTAGTGTTTCTTTACAACATCGCCAACTACTGGCCTGACATGAATAATGCAGCGTTTTTAATAATTCTCGTGGGTCCGTGTGAACCGGATAGTTTTGACAATGTTTACGGTGTAACAATATATCCTTTCACAATATATCGCAAAATGCAACAATATGCATCAAGGATAGTTTACCCAAAATGAAAAAATTACTCTGTGAAAAAAATTCAAGTTTTCAGAATTTTAGTTTGTCACTACATTAAACTACTATATATAGTGTTGAATATTAAATGTATAATAATGAAATGGAGTGGCATACATTATTTTAAATATATCTAGTTAGTGACAGAGTGCAAGCATATTAGTCTAAAATAATTCTGTTTTCAGCTTCAGAATCATGAATATTTTTATTCTGGTGTCTCTATTGTCCTGTGCATTGGGTTTCCAGCACCAAGTCCAAGCCTATTTATTTACAATGAATAGGCTTTTCAATGTAACACCAAATTAGCATTTTAATCAAGTTTATTTTTTTGTTAACCTTTTACCATGTGTCTTGGAGTATCGCAATAATATCGTATCGTGATAATTATCGAATCGTGACATGAGGGTATCGTTACACCCCTAATGTCTGTACGCTAAAAACACAAAGGAAAAATTGTTCGGTTTTTATTACTTTGTTGTCGTGTAAATTCATAATCGACAATTTTCAACTTATTTGATGTCCATTTCAATTTTTGTTATAACACGCCATAATTTAAGTCAATTAATAATGACTTAGTATCGGTTTAAAAAAACCTAAATTATGACGTACATTTCTGAAATTATGACGTCATAATCGTGACGTGTCAAATTTTGTCAGTTGTGACTTTGATGTCAATCGTTTCCTAATTGATTCACCAAAGATTTTTTTTCTTATGTGGCGGAAATGGGCAACCATAAACGAGACGTTACTTTCCAAAAATAATTAGCAAAGAATTAGTAATACATGACGGAGAGAAGCAGTGTTTTAACATTTAACCTGCTGCGATCTCACCGAACAATAAATGGTTTCCACAAGACAATATTAATAATGAATGAATGAGTGAAGACACATACCTGAGTTTCTGTGATTGTTCTATAACTTCTCAGACAGCTGTCAGTGTGCAAAACATTGTGCATTAAAAAGCAGAGTAACATTTTCGATAGACTAGAACAATTCAATCTAAAACAATAATGGATTTAACATGAACATTGAATGTCGAATGTTATTAATATAAAATTGTTTAAATTATTTCTGACCAGTCTATTTGAATGGAGAAAGTTTACATTTATTTAAAAGAATTAAAAGAGCAGTTTCACATCTATCCTTGTATTGTTCAACTGTCGAGGTTGTGGGATTTGAAAAGTTATTAGTATATATATATATATTAGTATATACTTTTTAAAGAGTGTAATTAGTGCAGTAATCAAATTACACTGGTGAAGATGTAATTAGTAGCTAGTAATTACTCTTTTACAGTAACTTCCCCAACACTGCTCGTAAGAAACTAAAATATAAACAGGCCAAATTTTACATTTTCTTTTTTTAATTTTTTAATTTTATCGCATCCAGCCAGCCCTGTGAAATGACCAATGCAGTGCGCACCGAAATGGTGAATTGCAGAACAAGGGCTCTACACTGCAGTTGCACCATTCAGACACCAGGAGGCGCAGTGGAGCTAGTGTTCAGCACAGACTGCAATCCATGCTGAAAAAAGTCAAATGGTTATTCTTCTACAGCACTTATTAAACAGCGAAGACATAAATGAAACCGGTTGATAACACTTGCTGCATGGTAAAAACAGACAGTTGGGTGCAAGATGTAAATGTTCAGGCACATAAGTAGCCGGAAATGAGATTTCCGAGAACACGCAAGACCAAGTCATCAGAAGCATTGTGTCTGTTGCACACAGTTTATTTAACAATATGGTATATAAGTACGAAACAAGATCTTAACCAGTTTATACAGCGATCTCAATCTTTTTTCCTTTTATTTACAGTATGTCATCAAGCTGCATGATTTACATTAAAGAATCGTTCACCTTCAATTCAAGTTTCATGAGGAGAAAAAAAACAAGAGGTTGACTGAAGAACTCTTTGAACAAATCAGCAGTCGGACGAAGCTCCGGCCTCATACGCGAGGTGGAGGGGACATCATCGATGTTTCAGAGATCAAACGAGAAAACAGGAACATCTTCCTACATCTTAAGAGAGACAACTACTGAATCCAGGCCAATAAATAAACGCATCTGGGCACCTTGAAAAATAAGAGCAACTTTCACAATTTGCTCGCGTGTTTGTGTTTTCGTTCGTTCGTTCGTGGTGTATGTGTGTGTGTGTGTTTGTGTGTGCAGTAGCCAAGCTCCTTTCTGTACAAATGAATACAGGTCCTCTGTACAAACTCCACAGTTTGGAGAGAAAAAGGCTGCGTGTCCTTTTCCAAACCTGGTAAATGTGAATACGTATCAGACAGGAATGAGGATTGATCCTGATCCTGATTCCACACCAATTATCTTAGTCCCTAAACACGCGCGCACACTCACAAAAAAAAAAAAAAAATGCATTTCAGTTTGCAAACATACAAAAATGAAAGTCTTCAATAATAAAATCAAATATTTTGCCTTGAGAAATTCCATTTAAAAAGTCCATAAGCTCAAAATAACCCCCTCCCCGGAAAAAAAAAAAATAAAAAAATTAAAAATTAAAAATGTAACTCCATATAGACCAGGATTGAATTCCGTCCGGTCCGACATCCCCTCCTAGAAAAAAATCCCCTTTGTGATTCTGCTCTTTAAACAGTAAATTCAATCCCTCCAACAAGGAAGGAAAAGCAGTCCATTGGTTGTGTAAACCTATTACAGTCTTGTCATTTTGTCGTCTTTAATTTCTCGCGTACAAAACAAACCTTTTCTCTCCGCAAAAGAACGTCTCTTAATGCTACAATCCCTCGACGAACTTCTCTAGCGTGTCGCCCGTGGTGTCCATGCTCAAGTCGTTGGAAAGCCCTCCACGGTTTGGCGTGTTCAGCTGCGGAAGCATTGCACTCTGTTCAGGTGTGCACAGGTGGGCCTGGTCCATGGGGCCCGGCATGGGTCCCGCCAGGCTGGGGTGTAGGGGCGAGGGCTGGGGCTGCATGCGAGGGGACGGGCTGGAATGTGGCGGCTGTTGGGAAGGGGGACGGGGCGATTGCACGGGGGCAGGCGACCTCACCTGGTTGCCCAGCGCATTAGCCATGGCCTGTCCGGGCAGGTGGGCTCCCTGCGCCTGTCCTGCAAGCATGTGTGATTGGGGACTCATGGAAGCGGCCTGTGCCGGCGAGCCCATTTGCTGCTTCAGCAACTGTTGCTGCTGCTGCTGTAGTATGCGCTGTTGCAGCATATTCTGCTGGGCGTCCATACTCATGCCAGGCTGGCCCATCTGAGCCATGGGTTGCATTTGTCCTCCGCCGCCCTGCATGGCCATCTGCTGCTGCATGCGGATTTGCGAGTAACTAGCTGCGCCTTGAGGCTGCGGGAATCTCCCCTGTCCTGTAGGGAGTGTTCCCTGTAGTTGCTGGTGCTGCATCTGACGAATTAGTTGCCGGCGGAACAGCTGGTTCCCGTTGTGCGCAGCGTTCATCATTTGTCCCTGGGAGCCGAGGGCCGCCATGGATTGGGTCGGGGCCGGCTGCGCCTGCTGGGGGGGCATGACGGGTCTCTGCACGGGGCCGGCCTGCATCGCAGCCATGTTCTGCATTCCCGGCTGCCCTGCGAGCATGGCCTGCGGGTTCTGCTGCTGCGGTTGGCTGGCTTGGTATTTCGCCGTGCGCTGTTTGATGAACGCGGCCATGAGATGCGGGTTTGACTTGAGGATGTTGAGGACCTGCTGCTGCTGCTGAGGGGAGCTTGGTGATTTTAACGTGCGCAGAAGGTCCTGCAGCGCTCCTGGAGCGATGCTGCTGGTCACACCTCTTTGCTGCATGCCCTGTTGCTGAGGGGCCTGTGGTTGCGCCTGCTGGGGAGGCATGACGGTCTGCATTTGCCTCGGCTGCTGCTGCTGTTGTTGCTGCTGCTGCATCAAGGCGCGCTGCATCATTTGCGCCTGTTGGGGCGTCTGCGCAACCTGAGACTGCTGTGGAGCCATGGCCATTTGCTGCGGGGGCACTTGCTGCGTTGGAGGCGCCTGCGGATTCTGCATGGACCCTTGCATCCCAGGTGGCCACTGGCCAGGCTGCATGTTCTGAACCATCTGAGGACCACGAGGGCCCATCATCTGCATGGGAGTCATCATGCGAGGTTGGTTCATCGGCATGCCGTTCATATTCATTCTATATTCTTGCTGCTGCTGTTGCTGTTGTTGTTGTTGCTGCTGTTGTTGTTGTTGCTGCTGCTGCTGTTTAACTTTGGTCATCATCTCTATTTGTTGCGCAACTTTCAAAGCCTGCTGCTGCTGCGGAGAGGGCTGCGGCTGCTGTTGAGGAGGCATGGGCAGGGGAGACTGTTGCTGCTGCTGTTGCAGGGGCGAGGACTGCGGCCCAGGTTTACCCTGGGGTCCTGGTGTCTGTGGTTGGCTGGGGAAGCCTTGCACCATTGCAGCCACGTTTGGATGCGTCTGTTGGGGCTGGTTGGCTAAAGACTGCGAGGTCTGAGGTGTGTTAGGCTGCTGCAGCTGCTGAGAGTTGGGCGTCCCCGGACCTCCTGAGGTAGTTGGGGAGGGCAGACTCGGAGGCATTCCTCGGCCCTGCATTAGTGCCATACGCCGCCGCATCATCTGCGCCTGCTGCAGTCGCTGCTGAATCTGCTGCTGTCGCAGCTTGTGCTTGATATTTAGACAGAAGGGTACGGGACACTTGTTCTCCTGGCAGTGCTTGGCATGGTAGCAGCACAATGCGATGAGTTGCTTGCAAACAGGGCAGCCTCCGTTGGTCTTGCGCTTGCAGCCCTTGGTATGCTGCACCACTCTCTTCATCTTCTGACAAGATGGAAGAGAACAGTTGGCGTTGCGGCACTGGCAGGCATGCACCAGCGACTGAATGCAGCGTTGGATGCTGAGGCGTCGACTCTCCTGTGGGCTCTTGTTGGCCTCGCCGCCCTGGTTGTTGCTGTCGTCGTCCAGGCCCAATCCCCACTTCACCATTTGGTGCTCATGGCCCTTGGAGTTGTAGCAGTTAATGCATAGATCAAAGTCCTGAAAGAAATCAGAAGAAGAATTGATATTGCTTTCTGGATAATCATAGTATAGAATATTAATTCACTGCTGCACGACTGGAGCCGGTATACTGGCGTTATATTTATAGCTACAGGCACAGTTGTCCTAGAGCAATGGTTCCCTCCTTGCGAGGTTGGAACATGCAACCTGCTAGTTTCCACCTCAGATCTTGATAAATTGCCAATACAATGGTATAATTTTTCTTGTCTAGTTTTTACAAACTACCTGTTGAATATCAAACAATGGCAACAGTAACCCAAATGCTCTGTCAAAGCCACAAAGAGGAGACTGACCACGCAAACGGTGCAATGCCAGCGCGTCTCTACGTGATGCTGGCATTCGTTGCAGGTGTACACAAATCGGTCTTGGCCCTGATTGTGTAGCTCCACCAGCATGCACATACTGCTCCATTTGCAGCGGCGCAGGGAACTGAACTCCCAGTGCTTGTCCCTGGCCAGCGTCAGGAAGGCATCACGGCCGTCCATCAGATCGCAGGTCAGCGGCGGGTCAGGGTCCATGATCGGAGGAAGGGTGTTGACCACTGGACCAGCATGGAGGTGGATAACAAAGAAGACCTGGATTTCACAAAGTAAGAGGAGATCTGGTCAGCACTTGGCACATTAGTAAATTTGAGTGGAAGTGATGGTATTCAGGTAAAAAGTCTAGTCCCACCTCTTTGTGCTTCTCCATTGTTGCATATAGCTTCTGGGACAGATCATTAGCTACATTCGGCATCCCAGGCTTCTTTTTGTTGGCGCGGCTCACGCTGCTCTTGTTTTTGTTGGTCTTTTTATTGTTCTTCTTTTTGGCGTTCTTGCTGTCAGCTGGGGTTCCCTGCGGAAATGCTACACATTTAGAAAAAATGGCTACATACTACACTAAATACACATTCACACCATTTGACACTCTGACTAACCTCTACTGTCTCAGAGGAGGCTGTATTCTCCTCCTTCTTCCTTTCCTCCTCCTCTTGTTCCAGCTCTTTGATGCTTTCCTCCAGAACATTGGGCCAAAAATCACCTTCGAAATAGGGTAGCTCATTGGCACTTGTAAGCCGGTCCTCAGTGGCCTGCTTAAATATGTCCTGCATAACACAAGTGAGACATTTTGTGAGTCATATCTGTGACAATATGATGTTGACCCATTATGAATGAAACCCTGACAGAGCGCAAATCCATTAAAATACAAATCCAACATCGACATACCTTATAGTCATGAATGATTCTTTCTGCAAATGCTTTGTCCAGCATTTTGCGGTACCACTCCTGGAGTCTCTTAGGCTTGGGAATCTTCTGATCAGGAGGGTGACAGTGGAAGATGTAGTCATCGCCTTCACTAGGTGGGCAGGCCCAGATATGACCAGTCACATATCTATAGGTGGGAAAATCAAATTCATTAGAGAATGCATTCGAGAGAGCATTAAATATGAAGAAAAACAAAACAAAACAAAAAAACACGTACGAATGGCTTATTTAGAGTGGACTTGTAATAGAGATTGGAGAAAGCATGTATTGTAACACCAAAAACCATTACACATATATTTAAGGAAGCATGTTTAACTTAATCAAGGTGGCACAACTTACCCAAGTTTCTTAACATACTCCAAATAGCCAATGAGGATTTCATGGTAAACTGCAGTTCTTAGCAACCGAGGCTTGAAGAAGTGAATACTGTCAAGATATGATATGTATACCCGCCTGGAAAAAGGAGAAAAACGAGACAATCAGTAAATTTTGCCTGTTCAAGAGACAATTCAGCATTGTTAAATTCAGACAGATCAGTATTTGCATGATACCTGGTGTTAGGAAAGGGACATTCAGATCCATATTCCTGGACATGCATGCCAAAGAAACACACATCCACTCCATCAATCTCCTCAAATGCAAAAAGTGCTTTGGTTCTGTAGGGAAAGCTTTCGCACATCTCTCCTGAGTCAACAAACCTGCAGAGAAATAGTTTGATGCAAAATTAGCTTCTTTCAATTCAGGTACACAGAAAACCATTCTTAGTCAGCATGAAATCAAAATCGAACCAATTTGTTTCTGACTACGTCAGAGTCAATTGCTGGTATTCATATTCATTATCTGTGACGTTACCTGGATTTCATCCCAGGTTTGACCTCCACGGTCTTTTCAGAGCTGGCGACCACCCGCACAAACACCTCCCCGGCCTCGGGGTGATTCTGCCTTTTCAAGTACTTATTCACTCGGTCCTCGATGTACGATCCCAGCCTCGTGGTCTGTAACCCTGATCAGAAATACACAGAGTTACTTCACTCTGCAACAGACACCGACAGAGAGGCAAGCAGGAATATAGATCAAAAACACTCACTTTTAGCAGAGAACTTGTTTTCCTTTCTCGTTTTTCCTGACTTCTTCATGCAGTTGTCACAGATGAAACTGTTATAGGGGAAGAGACAAACAGGAGCTGTAGTGAACACGTCAAATGACATGTTAAACTTCAGGAGAACAGGCAGATAAAATGCTCACCCTGTTGGCCAGATGATGTCGTAATGCAGTGCACAGATTTGATGCATCTTCCGGCCACAGTCTTTACATTCAACAAAGCTGTTAATACAGAGGAAGGTGTTAAAAACAATATTGACAAGCGTGATTTATTTTTTTCCCATGAGTATAACCTTAAAATAAGACCTAATTTGTAAATATTAGTTAATGCACTAACAATGGCAAATGCATTTTTACAGGTGTGATTAATCTTTGTTAACGTTAGTTTATAAAATGTTTATATTAGTTCAGAGTAAACTCATGTTAACTGATTAAATGTATTAGTAAATGTTGAGATTAACACTATGATAGCTTAATGTAAAATGTTACTATTTCATGTGACTTTCCAGAATTAAAAGTACTGCTCACTACATAATGCACAATTGAATGCCTGCCATTTTTAATTAATATGCAAATGCATGTGCAAAAATGTCAATTTCTTGAACATTTTTGACAAATAACAAAAAGGAAGTGGCATTCAAATTATATTTTGATGCAATATTGTAATCTAATCAAAGAAAGTCCGAAGACATCATAGTTGATTGTGCTTCTGAATCATTCGTCACTTTATTTGCATACAATATACATTAGAATAGATATTGTTGCTATAATAGTATGTGAAAGTGCATAGTCTAAAATACACACACACACAAAGGATTAAAATGATTGGACTTACGGCTCAGAGTCCAACATGTCATTTTTCTTCTTCTCGAACTGCTCCTTTGATATCATACTGCCGAGAGATACATAAGATACATTCCACATGGCATCTTTACACATCTACGACTCATTCTTTAAGAGTAATTGTGCGATTTAATAGAAGCAAAACCTCAAAGCTTTCTGGGCGACAGAAGATACATACGTCTGCGGCTGCGCGGGGTCGTCTCCCAGGGTGACACTGTCGCCCTGGATCTCGTTGAAGCACTTCTCGCAGAAGTGATACCTGTCGGCAACAAGGCCATATTTGGGTGAACTGGAGCCAGCACACAAGAGCACAGGCAAACCGGCACAGGAAGAGCAGCACAAGAGCGCAGAACGTGCGGTCGGGCAGAGATACGACACACAGAGGACAGGCCGAGGCAGAGCACAGGTTAGCAATCCAACACACAAATGAATGTTAAATCAAAAAAATGATGGATAGCAACAGGATGGTCTGTCTTTTCATGCACTCGAGAGAAGCTACATGCATTTTCTGATTGACCACGGGATCTTAAGAACAAATTATAAGCATGAAACAAACAAAGAGTGCAACAAGACAACAAGATGGAGATGAGAAACATGGGAAAGTGGTGCACTAGAGCATTTCCAGGCATTCATTTTCTAAATATTATGACAATTAACAAAGTTTTCAGGATTTACACAAATACTAGTGGTCTGCTGGGTGAAGCAGCCTTGTAAGCAAAGATCTAGGCTTGTTAAACTAAAGATTCAAATCCAACAACGACTGATCAAAGTATTACCACTGCACCCTTGAGCAAGACACTTAACCTTTGAACTTGCTTTTATGACTCTGTTTATAAGGTGCAAACAACAGAGTCAACTGAGCACTAAACATCTCAAGCCTGATCTCAGTGCATCACGGTCCCATTTGGAAACTCGTTCATCGCCACCTCATTTCTCACGCCATTGGTTACCTGTTTTGGTAGCTGTAATATGTGCCGTCTCTGGAGATAGTGCAGAGCTGTTTGCCATAGCAGCAAAGCGTCTGAGGTGAAAACTCGTACTGTGGAGACAGAAAAGACAGTTCTGTGAAGTGCAACCATGGTCATTTTAGCATTATTTATAATTATTTTAAATTTGTATATTTTCTATTGTCATTCATTTTAATTTCATTGAATACTTCGGTAACCCTTTACAGTAAAGGTGCGTTCACACCGGACGCGAATAGCGAGTCAGGCGCGATTGATTTAAATGTTAAGTCAATGCAAAGACGCGTTACGCGCGTAAAAAATTCCTGCGGCGCGAATGAGGCGCAGAGCACGGCGCGGTAGACGCGAATACGCCTCGTTCGCGCGAATTGAGCGTCTGGCGCGTTAAGCGCGTTACACGCGAATGTTTTATGTAGTGCGTTTTGTGCATTCTCGCGTTTGACGCGAATTCGCGTCTGCCGCCCGAGTTTAAAAATCTGAACTTCTGCGTCAATTCGCGCCGCGTTAACCAATCAGGAGCCTGCTTGCTGCTGTCACGTGGTGAAGTGACAGTTTATAATGTTATTTTATGTTTGGCCTCAATAAATTATTTTGTAATATGACAAAAATGCTTGGTGTGCAAAGCAAATCTTTCACATAAAAACTCGATTTCAATATGAGAGATACTCATTTTGTATTGAATGCTATTTATTCCATATCTATTCTAGATTATATAAAACATTATTATTCTAATGTAAAGACAACAAACACAATTTAGTGTATACAAACATTTTAAAAAATCACAGGACAGGTTTCACTTTTGGAGGCTCCATTTATTATCAAAACAAAAATAAATGACAGATTAGGTGGGTCCGGACGAGGGTGAACCTCGCGCCGGGCTGTAGAGCGCGGGCTCGACAGGCATAGACCACTCGAGGCCGAGGGCTTATACGGCCTACGCTGTCCTCGTCAGCGTCCTCACCGTTAGGTCCACCAAACCTAGCTCTTGGAGTAAATTGTGAAACTCCTGAAACCCTCCGGAGGGTCTGGTGGACCCGAGTACAGCGACGATGTCCCCTACGGAGCTGTTTCTGCTCTCCAGAGCATATACGAGCGGTGACTCTCTTGAATAATGCTAATGCTAATGCTCGATAAACATCTAAAAAGATGGCCGCCAACGGGTTTCGAAACTTTCGCCTCCGACCACTTTGTGTTAATTCGCGTGTCAATGGCGAAATTGACACGCGTAAAAACAAAAGTTTGAAGCGAAATTTACGCGCGTCAATTTCGCCATTGACACGCGAATTAACACAAAGTGGTCAAGCGTCAAACTAGACGCGGTAGACGCGAATTTGACGCGCTATTCGCGTCCGGTGTGAACGCAGCATAAGGTCTCATTTGATAACATTAGTTACTGAATTAGCTAACATGAACAAATAACTAGTAATATGTGTTTTACAGAATGTATTAATCTTTGTTACTGTTAATAAAATACTACCGATCATTGTTTGTTCGAGTTAGTTCACAGTGCATTGGGTTACAGATAACTTTATTTTAAAAATGTATTCAATGCTGAAATTAACTTTAAAGAAGTACTGTTCATTGTTAGTTCAATAGCTAATGTTAACAAATGAAACAAAGTGTTACCTATATTTCTATACAGCTTCATTTTATTCAGTTTTATTTACTTAAGGCAAAAAAAAAAAAAGTTTATCTAATACTTTATCCCCCAGTTACAGAGACAAGGCTTAAGTCTAGTCCCAGACTAAAATGCATGTTTGAACTGTTTTCAACGGAAAGTAACTTACACCAATATCTCTTAAAATATGTCAGTATCATTGGTTTATTTCAAGATGCACATCAGTAATGTTTTCTTTTTTCTAAGGCACGTTTATAAAAGTTACTTAAATATCCTAATTTAACTAAGGCCTAATCCTGTCTGTTGCCTGTCTTTATTTCAATTACTAAAAACAATTATTTAATACTAACACTTTACAATAAGATCCCATTTTGGCTGGATTTTGGCACGATCTGTTGGCACAAACAAGAATCGATCGTTTTATCTCATATAGAGAGTCATAGTGGATGACAACCGATGCCGCGTCTGTGACGCTTCACGACAGAAAGACCAGCATGTTTAATTTTTATTTCGGTCCTCGAAGACAGGTTTCGTCACATCTGTGACATTGACCAATAGGAGCACAGAAGCTCTTCTGTACACAGCTTTCAAACATGCCAAACAAAAGAGAGGTATTGGTGCTGCTAGAAGATACTTTGCAATTTTGGAAAGCGCTTAACTGAAGGAGGCGCTTCCGTACTGGAATTAGCATCAAGCTAGTATACAACCATTGTTTGTTTACGCTCTTGTTTTCGGAAGTCAGTCGCTAGCTCCGCCTTTTCGATGACATCACGCATGTTGTTAAAGACGGCAAGCAATGATTGGTCGGGAAGCAACGTGTAGTCTGACATGTGTCTTGTCCATGACACCTCAAGAGTTTAGGAGTCAAAAACGCATAATCTGACACAGCGACTATCGTAACAGACAAAAACATTGTGTAGTCTGAACCCGGCATTCGTAAATGTAAGTTAATGTATTAACTAACTGATCAAAAGATGTCTTACAGTATTTATTGAACTTGATTAAGGTTAGTAAATAAAAAGACAACGATTTATTGTTAGTTCATTTTAGCTCAGTTATATTAATATTAACATATCTAATTTTTGATTTTAATAATGTAAATGTTAACAAATGGAACCTTCTTGTAAAGTGTTACCATTATAGTCAATAATAACAACATGACTGCGCTCGGAACGACTGAAATGCTCTCAGGTTCGTTTCAGAGGAGTTTGAGTTTGTTTGGACCGTTCACCGATAAGCAAACAACTCTTTCCTGAATGGAGCAGCTCCAGTTCTCACCTTGCGCCCGCAGCAGTAACCCAGACCCTGCATGACAGGGTCAATCTCCTGCTCGAACACCTCGGCCAGCTTCGAGCAGTACTTGTACACTCGGGATGTTTTGCGGTTGTAGAGCCAGGCGTTGTTGAACATCAGCCAGATGTCGTCCACATACTGCCAGGGTTCCTGGTACTGCCCGGTGTCCAGCTTCCTCTTGATGGTGGAAAGGTCAATCGGGTTCTTTACAATGTCAAAGTAGTCCTGAAGAAACAAGATCAAGTACATGGTGATTATCTAATACTTTTAGATCGTTTTGAAGAGATTACATCAGCCCAATAATAGGTGTATGGGATTTACCGGGATGCCCAGTAGATTTGGGTCCACGGGCTGGCGGAAGGGCAAGGACTCCGGGTCTTGACGATACAGCGCTTCTAAGGTAGGCATCAACGCCTGTCTGAGCTCCTCTGGTTTGAAAACTGTAACAAATCATCATGATCGAATCAAATTACAGATATGACTGAATTCTAGTTACAATGTTTTTTCCCCCAAAGGAATTTCTTTTTACTTTTCTTGCGTGACTGGGCGGATTGACTGGATGGTGCGTTGTTGGTGCTGGACACGTCCTCCTCTTTTGGTTCGGTTTTTGCCTCTGGTTTCTTGTCCTCCGTCTCCATCGTTTCCTGTTTGGGTTCTACAGTCTCTGGCTCCTCCTTTACTTGTAGAGGTTTGACATCTTCATCCTAATGAACAACATGAATTGCATTACTAAAGACTGTTTCATTAGACAAGGAAAGATCGTGGAACTAGAGAACTGAAGAGCGTCAAGGGATTTGTTTTTAATAGCATCTCTGATTTGAACGTCTCTAACAAAAATTGTATTTGAGTTAGCAAGATGAATCAGTTTAAACTTTCAACAGATAAATTTAATAATACAAAGTCAATGTAACTCTGAGAGACAGTGAATATCTATAAAAGGATGAAAAATCTTGTCACAACCATTTAAAATTTGGGGTCAGTAATATTTCTCAGTGTTTTTGAAAGAAGTCTTGTTTGCTCACCAAGGTTGCATTTATTTGATCAAAAATACAGTAATAAAAAATAACATTGTGTAATATTATTGCAATTTAAAATAACTGTTTTCTATTGTAATATACTTTAAAATTGTATTTATTTTTGTGATCTCAAAGCTGGATTTTCAGCATCATTACTCCAGTCTTCAATGTCACATGATCCTTCAGAATTCATTCTAATATGATGATTTGATGCTCAAGAAACATTTCTTATAAGAATTATTATTGATATTATACATTTCTAATTATCAATACTGAAAACAGTTGTTTTTCAAGATTTTTTGCTATATATAAGGTAAAAAGAAAAGCTTTTATTTGAAATATAAATATTTACTGTCACTTTGGTCAATTTAATGCATCCTTGCTGAATAAAAGTACCAATATCTTAAATTTTTTTTAATCTTTTTTTTTTATCTTACCAAACCCAAACTTTTCAACGGTAATGTAATACTCAAGAAATAAAGTCAAGAACTGCTGAACCATTTATAAGTTTAATTTCAGTAATATCACACCTCCATCTTGATATCAGGCTGCTTTTTCCCAGATTCAAAGCCCTGCTCATCATCTTGATGCTCAATTTTGGGCTCAACAGCAGGGTAGTCAGGCAAAGCTTGCTGGGAGTGGGTCTCAGCCACAGACGCAGGCGTGGGAACTCTATTATCAACGCTAGGAGCCATTTGAGAGAGCTAATGGACAGACAAACGAGGAATGACATGAGTTAAGGGAGTCATCGCATACAACTGCAAACGAGGCTGTGTTTTCGATCCTCACCGGAGTGCTGGGCTGCTGGGCTTGCACAGAGGTGGGCTGCTGCATCTGCAGGGAGGGCTCAGGCTGGGACTGCAGGGGCGTGAGCGGCTGGGAGGGGGCAGGGGAGGAGCCCAGGACTGAGGGAGGGCGGGGCAGGCCGCTGGGGATGTGGGTGGGCGTGACGTGGCCTCCAGCGGAGGCCGGCGTGGAAGGCTGGGTCTGGAGTGGCTGTAGGCTAGCAGCTGCTGATGGGGTGGAGGGTGGAGGAGGGGTGGAGCACAGGGCGTACGGGGGGCCATGAGAGCCCACAGCATTCAGGGTCAGGTTAGCGTTCTGTTGCTGCTGCAGAGGAGAGATGGAGGGCATAGCGACTCAGATGATATAGCAAATCAAACCACATTGGCCGCCATTTACAATGAACTGCCACAGCCGTTTCCGGAAGTAAATTCCATTCATTTTCTCCATAAGGACATTCATTTTTAACCAGTAGTTTAACTTTTTGTCCAATTTTTTAAAACTTTGTTTGGTTCAAATAAACATTTTTATCGTTGCGATTCAGCTCTTAGCTGGTTCGCTTGGTTTATGGCTAATAACAGATTTTTTTTTTAAATCGCTGTGGAAAAATGAATGGGAAAAATACTTTCGTAACTAACACAGCTGAAAAAGTGGGTGGGCACTATTTCACTCATCATATTCCAGGAAGTCAGGAAGTGTTTGTGGTGGTGAAATGTCTCACTTGAAAGCCTAAGTAGCACCACAAACAACGAAACTCCGATGGAGAATGGACATTTCTGACTCCTCACCTGTGGGACAGACTGTCCTGACTGTTGGGCAAGGTTTACATTCACATTCATGCCCCCGGCTGATGATGGGAAGGGCGTCTGGTTCATGAACTGGTTCTGGTTGGGCGGCTGGCCCACCATATTGTTAGCATGGCCTGCCATCATGGTTGTTGCTTGCTGCATCCTGGAGGGAGACATACCCATCTACAAAAACAAAATATTAAGAGAAGTTAGAATTGAGCCACAGAAGTATATATTACTGCCATTCTTTCTTTATTAGTGAACAGGATTGTTTTAAATTCCTAGTGAGCAGTCTATATAAATGCAAATCTAAGATGGCAGACCACTCGAGAACAAAGTTGTCTAGAAATAAACTGAAAAATATGAATGTATAAATAAAAAGATATTATTTTATCCAATATTTATGCATTATACATTTTATACTCTGTGCAACAGCGACCAGCCTTGGTTCCAGAAGAATTTATCCCCATAAAGATTTCTAAATATTTACTACACGCCATGAACCAAACCAACCAGCTACAAGGTGAATCGCAACATTGCAAACATTGGTTTGAGGCAAAAAAGTATTTATTACACAACATGTACAAGACGGTGTTGATATATAAAATCAACATTTATTGTTACGTTTATTGAAAAAATGCATAAATATACAAATATTTATTATTTAATTATTTTCAGAGTGTAGGAGACTCAATTACATCATTCGCAGTGCTATATGGGAATTATTTTGCTGCAAATTGCTCGAAAAAGAGTGTCGTTGTTTTTTTATAAGAATCATCAGTAAAGTAGTTTTCTCCAGGAAATGGTGTTAACCAAGATTTATATATGTTGAAATAGTACAGAATAGTATATTCCACTGATTTACAGTTTATAAGTTAATGTTAAAAATCAATTCCCCATGGAGAAAATTAATGGGATTTTTACTTCAGGCATCTAAATGTTGCACTCTAATGAGAGTATAAAGCTGTTAGCTTAGCAACATTAAAAGCAAATTCTCTTGGAATCGGATGGATTGTGAGTCGTGTCTTGTTGCCTATGTAGAGCAATTCAAATCAGCCGTTTTTTTAAGGTAACACCTGGGTAGACAGCCAGGGAGCTCACTAGTGTCAACAAACTGTAGAGTAATGCCAAAGTCCCTTTAAGACAAGTAATTTCACTCGGAAGCCATCTTTGAAATGCCTCTCGGGTCTCTTTTGAATGGGGAAACATCAAATAAGCAAATGAGAAACAAGCGCGCAGCCATCTTTTGAATATTGTCTTTGAACTTCTGTTTTTGCGGTCGCTCTGTATATCTCTATGGCATCGCTGTCGAGGAGTAATTAGCTGGTGAAGTGGATTTACTTATTGTAAAGTTAACGAAAGTTATCGTGAGGATTGTAATATTTAAAGCAAATGTCAGTAGACCGGGAAGATTTTAAACGAGCCGTTCATTTATAAATACGCAAGATCACTGTGATACAGACCGGAAGACAAAAGACAGCGAGCGCAGCGCTGAAAAGGGGCGGAGCTACATAAGGTCTATGCGAACCGGAGCTTCTAACGGCAGCTACAGTGACACGATGACTTTACCAATCGGCAATTGGCTCTTATTTAGAAGGCGGGATTTATTCCGCCATATGAGCGATGCACTTTTCCCCATTTAAAACAATACGAGTGCCGCGTCTCGTGTTATTCTGTAGTCTTTGGTAATGCTCACCGCTGGAACGTTACCCATGCCCATCTGAGGGGGGTGGGTCATAGGGGATGCTGCGCGAGGAGCTCCCACCGGCGACTGGGACATCTGCACGTTCTGCATGGTCACGGGGTTGAACTGGCCCATTCCTGCAGAGCATGATGGGAATAACACATTGAAAAGTTGATAAAAGGGGGATTGAAGCTTTTGAGTAATTCCTGCGCTACTAGTATGACCAGTCTGACTGCTTTTTCCCCTTCCCAAGTCAACATGAAATGGCATTCATAACCTATTTTATTCCTGTAATATGACATATTTCAGAGTCAAAATCTTCTTAAATCTATCATTATTTGCTATTATTGACTTTAATTACATTAAGGTTGACTACCAATGTGTCAGCCAACGTGCAAAATTTCAGAAAGTCTGCCGCTTCATGTAACATATTGATAAAAGATTAGAAAGATGAATAACGCACAAAAAGACCCAATTTATTTTTATATTGTAAAAATATTTCACAACATTACTGTTTTCCTGTATTTTTGATCAAATAAATGCCATTTTGAGTCTTCTTCCAAAATCATTTTAAAAAAATGTGCCAACTTTTGAACGGTAGTGTATACATGTCTACAAAAAGAAGACTATACCTTGAGGGACCTGCATCCGGGCCATCAACTGATTTGGCACATTGGACATAGGGACAGGTCCATCTGAGGAAATAAGGAATATTTTGAGCAGCTGAACACATCACGAAAGCAGCCAGGGAACATTGAACATCCAGAAGATCAGAGCATTAAAAAAGCAAAGCCACTAACTTGGTGGCCGGATGGCTTGTGCAGGACCCATAGCGTTGGGCTGGGGAAGGCCAGGCTGCTGAGGACCCTGAGCGCCCATCTGTGGCTTCGACAGCCTGGACTTTCTCTTCTCCTCCAGCTCCTTCTGGATCTTATAGATCTTCTCAGCCAGAAAGTGGTAATACTCATCCTGATCACAAGATTTTAAAATATATGAATACATTGACCACCTGGTGCCTTCTTAAGTCACACACACCATATTGAAGGAAAGTTCAAATGTAGCACGATAGTCCAGGTACTTTACCCTGCTGTTGGCCGACTCATACATGTCCCCTTCAACCTTACGCGCGTACGCGACCAAGTTGTCCATGCGTCGGTCCTTCAGTGCTGCAGGGTCAGGCGTCGGGAATATGGCTTGAACTCTGTAGGGGTGTTAAAAGAATACAGTGTTAAGAGAACTGCCCTTGGCAAATCATGATTGTGAACAGGGTTTGAAAGTGACACCCGCCAAATGCGAGTGAAAATCCACTGTGGCGTGTAACGCAATTCAACACATTAGCCAATTCGGCGGGTTATGATTCATAAATTATGTTCGATCACTTCGCATGCCATTGCTATCAGAGCCCTTCCCCTAAACGGAGCCTCAAAACAACGCATAAAGAGGGTCGCGCAATGAGAGAAAAATTAATTAAATTCGAACGCATTGTTTTCTATGACCGTACGCAGACGCACAACAGCGGCGCCCAACTACGACTCCGGCTGTTCAAAATCATGCCGAACCACACCATGGTTTTCCATTAGGATACAACGATTAAGGACAAATATATGTGCGAACTGACTTCACCCTAGGTGATTTGTGTATTGTGCATTTTTCAGAAACGGGTTTGTTTTTGTTGCTTGAATAAATATGCTTCATATAGAGAAATAATATAGATCGCACTTTCTCTTTCCGTTTGCGCTAGGGGTGTAACGATACATCGTTATATCGAGATATGATTCGCGATAAAGAGTTCGTTTTATCCAAGGCTCAGCTCAACTGTATTTATAAGCTATAATTCACCCAAAAATGTAAATTCTGTCATCATATACTATAAGATTTTTATTCAACTGCCAAACACAAATGAAGATATTTTTAGGAAACCTGAGCGATTTCTGTCCCTCCATTTAAAGTCCATTCCTCTAAAATTTAAAAGATCCAACAAAAATCAAAGGTATCGTAACAATAATCAAATGAGCGGTCTAATCCAAATCCAAGTCTTCTGAAGAGACACGATGGCTTTATGTGATGAACAGATTTACAACGACGAGCATACTGTAAATGTTTAGATGCTTGCGTGACGTGCGAAAACAACATGAGTGAGTAAAATAGTCTGGAAAATAGTTTGGGAATAGTCATTTTGACATGCTTTTTTGCGATTAGAGTTGTGATGGATTGCATTGATCATCTGATGCTTGTACACTTAACTCCTCAAAGTGAAAGAGCAAACATTATTTAAATCAGCATATCACATTTAGTTTTAGTAGTATGATTATTCAAAGTGTTTTAGATGGTTTATTCTTATATGTAGAGTGCATTAATAGCAGGAGAGGCAGACATATGACAAGCCGTGCGCGCTATCCAACGAAGGCCTGTATTGAAAGCGCAAATCCTACGTGATTTATTTTCTTTCAGTGACATTACTACATTAAACTACTATATATAATGTTGAATATAATGTTTAATAATGCAATGGGGCAATATTTGTGAGTCCTGATAATAATATTACAACAATAATATTCGTTTAATAATAATAATAAATAAATAAAAACGATTTTGGCTTAAACTATCACGATAAGCATAAGAGAGTTCAGTATGGCAATTTGTATCGAATCGTGGCGAGTTTATCGTTACACCCCTAGTTTCCGCTGTTTTTTTCCCAAATATCTTAATTCAAACTCATTGACGCCACTTGAAGTGAACTTTTGCCTGTATTGTGATTGGATTCACTGTTTTGGACTGCTGCCTTGAACTTGAGAACGCGAGTACAGAATGACGTGACCGGTGTGCGATAAGCCTGCCTTTGAGATGTCCGCAGCGCGGCGCTTCCCGTCTGCTGTGCGACTGGTAAACGCTCCGCCAGAGCCCTAGGAGACAATTAAGAGGCCACTTTTTATAGAGGCCTGTTCTCATAAATGCCGCATGTCCAAGACTTTTGGGCAAAAAAAGCGCCCTAGCGTCTTTATTGCTACGTGCAGGTAAACTCATGCCAATCATAAGAGAAGTCACAGAGAATTTTGTTTTATTTCCATTTTATTTTATTTGAATGATATCTGCAAACAGTGATTGACTGTCGTGAAGCTGAAAGCAAAACAATGATTTAGGATCGGATTTAATAATAAATATATTTAAATCTAAGCTGGTTTATACCTGATATTTTTGTTTTGGCTGTTAGAAGTTCTGAATGGCTGGCAACTTAAGAAGCCAAATTGGCTGGTGAGTGAAAATGTGAAATATGATTTCTCCAACTCACAGCTTGTGCACTAGGTGATTCCTCAAGTCCTGAGTGACGTGCTCGTGCCAGGGCTTCTTCATGCCGGGCATTGACAGCGGTGCAGCTGTGGGCAGGTTCCCAGCGCCGCCCATGTTAGACCCGTCTGACATCATCTGACTGTGAGAGCAGGATTACAACATTAGTTTTCAGAACCTCACTTCCCAAAAATTCATATTTCAAGATTTTTCTACATAACAGGGTGCATAATTTGACAAAAATCTGACAAAGAACCTGGCATATGCGTTTTAAAACAATTAAAAAAATATTCCTCCCTTTTATCATCTCAGATTTCCTTGAAGTTTCAGACACTACAACCCATTATAGCTTCAGAACGGCTGTAAAAATCATTCCACATTGACACCGTTTGCTCTCCTACATTGCTGTACTCTACAGATGCACATTTCCGGCTCTGCAGTGTGTGTGAGAGGTTAAAGGCGAGGGATGAAAGGTGAAAAGACTCACTTGCTGTTGAGGGATGAGGGGAGAGAGGAATCAGTGTGAAGGCTCGTCTGATCGGCCATACCGTTACCGCCGATGTTCATCTGGTTAGTGCCTGAAGATGTTGTGGGAAACCAGACAGGGGTTACACACGAATACACCACATGATGAGCAGCATGAAGTTTCAAAGCATACTGACACCAGATGCAACAAAATATATCGCTTATAGACCAAGATGCACTTTATATGCCAGTTTTGATCTTTCCACTTTATTATGTCCCATCATTACTAAGGTATTTGATGAACTACATTTAGCAAATCTAATTATGCAATAAAAATGATGTTGGACTTGTGTGCATCTTTGAAAGTGTTTGATAAATTGCATTCAGAAATTGTAAATATGCAATATATAGATCTGATTGCACTTGTGTGCATGTTTAGTAAATGGCTCAACGCATTTAAAATGATGCAAGATGAAGTTACAGAATGACGGCAACTTTCAAGGTTAATAATGAACATGTAACATTGAATCGTTCACAATATTCCGCTTTTCCTCAAATACCACACACTCAATAACGCGTAACATTACAGATTCCCTCAGAAGTTGATACCTAAAGAAGTCATGGAGCGCATCTGCTGCTGCTGGGTCTGCGTGGGCTGCTGTCCTGCGACCTGCGTCTGCGCAGCCGGCTGGTTCCCGTACGGGAGCCCGAGTGCTGCGTACGCCCTCTGCATAGAGCTGGGGTCTATGTGTGTGCCGCTGCTGATGGCGGGCGCAGCGGGTTGACTCGTGCCCACGGGGCCCAGCGGAGCCTGCATGCCAGTGTTAGGGGAGCTCAGCATTGCTGCAAATACCACAAAAACACATTTGTTAAATAATAATATTTCCATTAAACCTTTATAATAGAACTAAAATTGCATACTTTTTTCATATCATGTAAATTGCTGCTTCAGATTAGGCCTAACAACCCTTAACCTTGGTAAAATCACTAATATCTACAAACAATATTAAGTAACACTTTACGATATAGTTAATTAGTTGACATTAGTCAATGTATTAACTAACGCAAACTAGCAATGAGCAATACATTTGTTACAATATTTAATAATCTTTGTTAGTGTTAGTTAATAAAAATACTGTGCATTTTGTGCATGTTATTTCACAGTGCATTAACTAATATTAACAAAAACTATATTGATTTTAATTACGTATTAGTAAATGTTGAAATTAATAATAACTAAGATTAATAAATGCTAAAGTATTGTTCATTTTTAGTTCATGTTAACTAAGATAGTTAACTGAGGTTAACTAATGAACCTTATTGTAAAGTGTTACCCATAATATTAAAAAATGTTCTTCATAAATAACTAAAATGTAAATGACTGTGGATAAACGTGCCTGCTAAATACAAATGAAAAATTTAAAACAAACTAAATGAATACATGAAAAAAATATATTTTCTAGTTGCAATTTTGCAGTAATTCCACTTGAACTGGACGCACAAGCGACTGAAGTGGAATAGCCATTTTGGAAACACAGAGCAGCGGCACAGAGCAGAACTGCAAGAGAGACTGAGAGAACGTGCTTCTGTTGCCACTACAGGGGGATTTAAACGATTTGTCCAATCGGAAAGCGGGAGCTCTCTGTGTCCCGCCCCCCTGAAAAACGAAGGGTGGAGCCCCTCCCCCGCGGTGTCAGATTACAGCCCCGCTGCCTGCCGGAATCTGCTGCTGGTCTCATGCTTTCACATTCAGCGCGCAGCCGAGATGCACGCATGACCTACAGGTGGCAGCACTCATACAAACGCACCCGGTCTCTCGAAGCATGAGATGGAGAACCACACAGTAAGTACAGTAACAAACCTGTGTTCACACATTAAACTAATTATTTTGCTTTACCAATTGTAAAGAATGGCCAACGTTGTGCATAATGGCAAATGTACATAAAGAAATTCTTTATGGAAAAAGTAAATAACCATAATTAAACCACATGACAGTGCTGGTGGGACGTTTATGCAATGCCGTAACATATAGCGCCATGAAGTATATCTCTGAAAATGTGGTCAAAATCCTCCTCCATCAAAGAGATGCAGAGAATGTATAGAGTATTTTTAAAATGTGAATAAGACGTACGCTGCTGGTTTCTCTTGTCGCTGGCGTTCTTCAGGGGCAGACAGACGGGGCAGTCGTGCCGGGTGCAGTTCTTCCAGTGCGAGATGATCTGTCTAGAGGAGGCGCAGTGAGCCACTGTGGAAATGGACAAAACAACATAAAAACTTTGTTATGCTGCAAAGAAATTACACTACTGAGCAATCACATACTTCAAAAGATATAAAAAAGGAAAGGAAATATGAATAATTCATGTTTGAACGGTGTTGCTATGTGGTTATTAGGGTCTTGGCAGTTGCTGGTTGCACTACTAGGTGGTTGATTACTGCATACCTGAAACTACAGACTGGTGAAAAATGTCACTGGTGGGTGAAAGGGGGAATTTTTTTAAGTGAAAGGGAGTGTGTGTGTGAGCAAAGTCGAGTGCAAGTGTGTGCGCGCGTTATTGTAACTTAAGTACACTTGACAGTTTCATGCGCTTGTAGTATTTACTAGTGTTTGTTCTAAATGGTCCTGTCGTCTGCTGTGTTCAGACTTCAGTTGTATTTGATTACTGCATTCAGGAAGTGTACTTTCTTGGAGCAGATAAAATAAAAAAGGGAGTTCATATTAACTGCCAAAACAGCCCTGACCCGTCGAGCCATGGACTCCACTAGACCCCTGAAGGTGTGCTGTGGTCTCTGGCACCAAGGTGTTAGCAGCAGATCCTTTAAGTCCTGTATGTTGCGAGGTGAGCCTCCATGGATCGGACTTGTTTGTTCAGTACATCCTACAGATGCTCGATTGGATTGAGATCTGGGGAATTTGGAGGCCAAGTCAACACCTCTAACTCATTGTTCTGTTACTCAAACCATCCCTGAACCATTTAGGGGTGCACCAGGATGCATTAACCCTAAAGAGGCCACAGCCACCAGGGAATACCGTTTCCATCAAAGGGTGTACATGGTCTGCACCAATGCTTAGGTATGTGGTACGTGTCAAAGTAACATCCACATGGATGGCAGGACCCAAGGTTTCCCAGCAGAACATTTCCCAAAGCATCACACTTCCTCTGCCAGCTTGCCTTCTTCCCATAGTGCATCCTGATGCCATGTGTTCCCCAGGTAAGCGACGCACACGCACCCTGCCATCCACGTGATGTAAAAGAAAACGTGATTCATCAGACCAGGCCACCTTCTTCCACTGTTCCGTGGTCCAGTTCTGATGCTCATGTCCCCACTGTTGGCGCTTTCTGCGGTGGCCAGGGGTCCGCATTGGCACTCTGACTGGTACTATGCAGCCCCATACGCAAAAAACTGCGATGCACTGTGTATTCTGACACCTTTCTATCAGAACCAGCATTAACTTCTTGAGCAATTTGAGCTACAGTAGCTTGTCTGTTGGATCGGATCACATGGTCCGAGCCTTATTCCAGCCTTCGCTCCCCACGGGCATCAATGAGCCTTGGCCGCCCATGACCCTGTCGCCGGTTCACCACTGTTCCTTCCTTGGACCAATTTTGATAGATACTGAGCACTGCAGACAGGGGAACACCCCACAAGAGCTGCAGTTTAGGAGATGCTCTGACCCAGTCGTCTACCCATCACAATTTGGTACTTGTCAAACTCGCTTAAATCCTTACGCTTGCCAATTTTTCCTGCTTCTAACACATCAACTTTGATGATAAAATGTTCACTTGCAGCCTAATATATCCCACCCACTAACAGGTGCCGTGATGAAGAGATAATCAGTGTTATTCACATCACCTGTCAGTGGTCATAACGTTATGCCTGATCGGTGTAATTTTAGTTAAGTTGGCTGGAGCTTTTTGCAACATTTTCCAGTGTAGACAGTGAGATTGATTAAAATGGGAGCAATGTAGTTTTGCCAAACTTATTATTTAAACTTTTTTCCATCTCAGTTTGTGCCGTGGAAATGTGCGGAATGGGTCCAGATTGGACGCCAAAAAAAGCTTATTAGATTAAGGTACCTAGATATGTTTCAGGTCCCTCTAACAATAGTCATGCTCATCTTAGCAAGAACCACAAATAAACAAGAGACATTTTACATTCTTGATGAACAAAGTTTGTTTGCATGCATTTAGTTTTTTTTTTTTTTTTTTTTTTACATGAGAAAACGCTCTGTCCAAATGATATCACGTCAAGGAGTAAAAGCGGCTTCAATGTTCCAGACTCCATCATACTTAGACAGTGAGGCCACGAGAGTCAAGATTGAGTTCCCATGTTTACATGAAGCTTGAGTGGCCAGCCAGACAGTTCAACAACACAAAGATGTACAGTCATTACTAAAATATGGTTGTGGATAAAGAGACATGTGGTTGGATGAATACCCAAGCACTTTCAGATCGACTCAGAAATTACATAAGACCAAGAGTTGTATAAAATTCATAGCTTGGGTCAATTGTTGGAGTCCAGTTATATATTAACATAACTGGTGTCATTCTGCCTCTCACCTTGGCAGGATTTTCCCGCCTGGCAGTGGGTCATGTGGTTGAGGACGTTCTTCATGGTGCGGCAGTGGGGCAGGGCACAGGCGCGCACCTCTCCGTTGGCCTGCTCTCGCCGCTGGCACTTGTGGGCGTGAAGCAGCAGGACCAGCTGCTGCTGGATCAGTTTGCGTTTCTCCGGGTCGGCCGTGGGGCCTGTTGACACCCCCTGTCCCGGGACCATGCCCACCGAGGACACCTGCTGCTGCAGCTGGAGGAAAGAGTTTAGATTAGATAGAAGCTCCATTTCTGTTTTAATGTAAAGAAGAAATCTTTCTAAACACTCTTAGTTGGTTTGAACGATAAATCTACTGTAACATTAAAATTAAGATACTTTGTTAGCCTAATTACATTATGCTGGAGCAGTCTAAGTCAGTTTTCTGATCTGAATGTTCAAGCACAACAACAATTTTAGACTTAATTCGGCAGTTTTGTTACTTTTTACGTCATATTCTGCTGAATGTAAACGTGCATTTCAATTAGCTCTCCAAAATAATAATTAGCTGCTGAATAGATGCGTGACGCAGAGACAAGAGACCAGAAGTGTTGTGGACTGAACCAGAGCCCGCTGTGGGGGGGTTACTCACCAGATTTGGCACGCTGGAAGCACCCTTCAGGGTGGGCTGGAGGCTGTTGGGGAGAGCTGCCTTGTTCTGGATCTGAGCGTTTAATCCAGCGCTGGACATCTGCTGGACCGAACCCTGTGCATACTGCTGCCCGAATGGGCCATTAGGGGTTGCAAGACCCATCTATGGAAAAAGAAAAAAGAGCTTTAGCATCAATAAACCTCACTAGTTCTCATGCATTTCTCCCAAAGTTCAAGAAACGGAGCAAATGTGGCCCAAAACAGCTTTAACGGTAGCATTTCAGTTAAAATTCATAGAGAGCATTCTGCAGGCACAAGGTTCAGCCCTCTGCCAGTGTAACGTAGACGCTGTCAAGCCAAACGTTCATAGGTCAAAGAGTGTACTAAAAGATACTGTCATCAGCTGCTCGGTGACATCCGTCTGCTCACACACGAGAGGTGGATACAGTTTTAGCTTTCAGTGTAGCAGAGCTTGAGAACAAGAAACCACCGGCTCTTTATAAAAACACCAAATTAAAGATTCACTGATGACGCAATATATAGAATTTATACACTATCGTTCAAAAGTTTGGGGTCAGTAATATAAAAAAAAATACAGTAATATTGTGAAATAGTTCTCTATTGTAATATATTTTAAAACGTAATTTATTCCTGTGATCAAAGCTGAATTACTCCGGTCTTCAGTGTCACATGATCCTTCAGAAATCATTCTAATATGATGATTTGATACTCAAGAAACATTTCTGATTATTATCAATGTTGAAAACAGTTGTGCTGTTTCATATTTTTGTGGAAACCATGATTGTATGACCATTTAAAGCGATCGTGTCACTTTAGAAAATATTGACTAAACCGACTGATTCATATGGATTCGTTTTACGATCTCTTTATGAACTTTCTGAAGCGTCAAAGTGGTAGTTGCGTAGCTGTCAATAAAGGGATCTCTCAGATTTCATCAAAAATGTCTTAATTTGTGTGCCGAAGATGAACTAAAGTCTTACAGGCTTGGAATGACAAGAGGGCGAGTAAATGAAATGATTTTAATTTTATAGGGCTCTAGACTCATTCTTTACACAGGTTGCACTGGTGACGTGCGAGGTTTCACTTCCGGCGCTTTCCGGAAAAGACCGAAGCGCCGGCGCCATCAGATCACTTGGACCTGGCTGTGTTTACAAGAGGTAAAAACGATATAAATATTGTTCGTTTTCTCACACAAACCGCTCGTTTCGTGTCTTAGGCCATCAATGTGTACTTACATTTACGAGTCATTAAATCATGTTTAATTTAGACTTCTCTGTGCATGCTCTTTGAGGTGGACCCCATAGACCTGCATTATATGACTGACAGACAAGAACGGTTTGACCTAAAAATATCAAAATTGAAAATACTGTGGACACAAAGACACCTACATCTTGGATGCCCTTGAGGTAAGCTAAAATATATCAAAAATTAATTTCAAAGTGAACTATCCCTTTAATATCAGGAGGCAACGTAATACGCACATGATGACAGGGAGGTGACGGCGGTGTATAAATCGAGTTACCCCTTCGACATCTGCTAGATTTACTGAGATTTCTTATCCCGTGCGAATAGGCCATTAATATTACATACATCTTGTGGTAAAATTACATTACTCCATCCACCCTTGTAAAACTAATCCCGTCCGAATAGGGCTTTAATCTCCATACCTTAGTTTTGCACTGATGTAAAAAGACTGACAGTGACGAGACCTCATATTAGCAAAATGTTTTAATCTTTTAACAATCAAATGTGACAGGTTTGCTGCGATATTCGGTGTTACACAGGTTTACATACCCACCGCCCCCACCGTCGTTTTGATTTTTTTTATAGGCATTCATAACGGTGTCCACTGGCAAGGAGAGAATGACTACGTTTACATGCAGCCAATTTTCGGGTTATGGTCGGGTTAAGGTCACTATTCGGGTTTCTAAAACATTAGGAATAACCCGTTTACATGCGTGAGTCGAGAGAGTTTCTCCTGTATACATGGAATTGCAATATCCCGATGTAAACGGCGACGCACGGTTAGCGTCAAGACGTACGGACAACCTTAAGACGCACTATGCGTCATTTCCGATTCTTCTTCCTGTATCCAAAGTAGGGATGGGCATTTTTCAAAAATAATGCATTCGAATATTCGGGCTCATAGAAATCGAATATTCGAATATTCGTTTAGCCTATTTACATGACATTTAACGAAAAAGACGTTATTTTTTTAGTACATTTTTCAAAAAGTTTTTGTCACCATTTCTTAACAAGCTTACGATTAGGCAATACACAACAAGCTTACAATATATGTTACAGTTTTCTTTTAGTTGAAAACATTAAACAGTTGGCCTATGTGTAAACAAAATATAAATAACAAAAGGATTTAAGCTCAAGCAGCGCGAGCGGGAAAAAAACGCCTAATAAAGCAGAGTAGCAGACTGCGCCAGATATCGAACAGAACGTACACACACACTCGAGTCAGCATGATTATCGTGTATATTGTTTCACGTTTATGTTGAGAAAAACAATAATGTCCACATGCAGGGGCGCCGCCAGCAATTTATGCTCGAGTAAGAAAACGCGCTGCACTGACAGACGATTCAGAGACACAAGCGGTCACGGTGTTATAAGAATCTAACAGCACTTTGCGTTTTCTGTTCTTAAACCTGTCTCTCTCAATGAAACTTAAGGGAAGTATATGTCTATAAAAATAATTTTGCTATTAGATTAGTATCATCTCTCGGAACACGAGCGCTACAGCTGCGCTTACCTGCAGTCGTAGTGATGGACAGCTGTCTTTCCTCAGTCGCCTGCTGTTTGGATTTCATGTGATTTCTCATTGTGTTGATGATATTATAACTCAGATTAATTAATTCATTTGATCAAAAGTAATTCCATTCTGTAAGATCATTTAGTAACATAATTTTCAACTAGTAGTCTAATTCCAAACTTCGCGAGGCAGACGACGACATTATGTGATCAAATACAAACAACTTGTTAAACACGCGCCACAGCGCCACCCAGAGGATTTAGTTATAACTGCGAGTTAGTGCTTGGGATTTATCAGGGATTCACTGCATTTACGGCCAGCAAAGCATTTAGGCTACGGCTTCATAAATTCGATAAAATTCGAATAGTATTTTATTTTTCGAATAATAATTACAGATCGAATATTCGAAAATTTGAATATTCGTGCACATCCCTAATCCAAAGACAACAGCAATAGCAGCAACACGCTGATAATGAATAGTTCGGGGCAGATAGCGATCGCCTTTGTTTGCGCTTTGGTGCTGGTACTGACCTCGCTCCAAAAGTATGCTGTGCTGCGTCTCGCCATGTTTACTTCCGGTATACTGCACGCAGGTTTTTGTATGCGCCGAGAAGTTCCTCTACTCAAAAGACCAAGATTCCTTGCGAATAGAACATGCGCAGAACACAAATCACTATGGGGATATGCCGATGCGTGTTTACATGACCAAAAATTCGGGTTAGAAAAGGGGTACCCCAGGTATCATATCCCGGTTTTTAAAATCCGGGATATAAGCATATTCGGGTTTTTGCAGGTGTTTACATGGACGTGCGCGACCGGGTTATTGCTAATATCCCCGTTTTGAACGGGTTATTGGCTGCATGTAAACTAGGGATGTCAATTTTCACAAATTCCCATGATCGATCGTCGTTTAAATTAACGATCAATTAATCGATTAATCGTTAGCCTTAATACTGCAATATGCGTCTGCTGCAGTGCATATGGCCAACAGCATGACAGCGTCTGCAAATGCTGCTCAAACCGCTATGTTCCTCACCAAATTAATGAGAATGGTTTTAATCTAAATAAAGGGCTAGTAGGATTGTAAAATGTTTCGATGTGTTTGATAATTAAATTACAGGGCTCGAATTTCGGAGCGATATTGCGCATAATTCTAATAATTCCCACAGGTCTCCCATTTATAATGCAGGAAATTACCGCAATCGTAATCCACACAGATTATAAAATCAAATCATTCTTTTAACAACTATCTTCCAGACGCAATTTCACAAACAGCGTGAGTGTTCAGCGGTGCCGCGTCTTCTATCTCTTCTCTCAAAATGTGTTGTGCAAGGCAAGCATCAAGCGCTGCGGCGATAATACACACTCGCGTTTAGGAGTCGGGACATGACGGAATATTCACTTGCACAATCGGGCCAGCAGTGCATCGTGACTGAAGTTTACCTTTGCACGTCGTTTTAAGTCTTACCAGTTTAAACATTCAAGCGATTTTAAACTAATCAGTGCTCGCACGCTCTCTGAGATTATTTTCTATGCGCACATTCATAGAGAATCCGCCTCAAAAACAGCTGGCCAGTAACAAAAGTTATTTTTCGCGGATTATATTGCTTTAACACGCAAAATTGTGTCAATTTCGGTCTTCGTGAGTATACTCTAAACATAGTCGGTTTTGTCTTTTAATAAGCATAAAACGCATGCCAGTATAATGAACACAGGATCCGTGCACTAGCTCATTAATTTAGTTGTCAAAACAACAAAATATAGCTTTAAGTTAAAGGAATCAGGATTAATAGCCTATATATATTTAATTTATTCAGGACTAAAATACTACCCAGTGTTATTTTCCATTTGATTACTTTATTCAGTTTCTGTAGGCCTATATGAAGTTAGACCCATTGAAAAACTTTTCTCTTTATTTGTCTTTATTTGTATCTTTATTCTATTGTATTTATTTGTGCTACTTTTTTCAATTTAATTAAACAATTTAAATCAAGCTTCCTTGTGTTGTGTAAACTCTTAACAACAATATTACCCCATTGTAAAAATGCAATGAGCGCAAACATTTAGGCAAGATAAATGTAATTTTTGTTTGGAAAAAATGCCCCCCGCCCTTCTCCCCCTCAAAAAAAAAAAATCCCCCCCGATTTCCCCCAACGAAATTCAGGCCCTGAATTAAATAAAATATTTAATAATCAAATATAACGACTAATACAACGTGTCACCAACGCCGCCTCAGATGCGCTTGTCAGAATGTGTGACTTGTGGACGCGTGCTCTTCCTGGAACAACGCACTTAAAACGGCAACTAAACCCAATGAATTCACACCGATTTAATAAAATAGTGTTCTCATGTTATGTAATATGACAGTCCCAAATTAATCCTCG